AAAAACAACAGAAAGATATGATGACAGTAGTAGCTAATTCACTCATATCTTCAGAACAGTTCTCTTTAATTTCAATCATCAGATTCATTCGCTCAGGGAAGGGGTCCTAAGCACAATCCACGCTACAAATGTGCTTAGCACAAACGAGAGAAGCCCCAGATCTTACATACACTGTTAGAAATAAAGGTTCTGTGCAGGTACATTTTTCATTCATCAAGGTACAAACAATGTAAATGTTCCCTCAAAGGTACAACAGTGGTTTAAGGTCTGATTGTGAACCTTAAATAAGTTTTTCCAGGTGAAAAGTTCATATTTGTACCTTTTCATAACCGAATGTTTTAAAACAGAACAGTAAAATAAAAGCCTGGAGACGAGACGGGGTGTGTGGAGTCAGTACAGCTTAGAGAATATCATTTAAATGGATTATGGTACAGTTATGTTCCCTGACTAAAGATACTGAGATGGACCCTTGAGGGGACCACCCCAGTGACAAGAGAGTGACAGTTTCGTATCTTTTGATCTGAGAGTGTAGTGTAGCTTTAAACTTAAACATTCATTCATTTTCATTCTTACATAAACAAAATATTATGATTGTGCAGAGCAGTAGCCCCAAAACAAGATTTCACTTGGGACCCCCAAAACGGCCCTGTTCCAGGTGAATGCTATTAGCACTGTATGTGCCAGAACTGTATGTGCTGTCACATTTTTCCACTTTGAACTCCAGGACAGGACAGTGCTGTGATTTTAGCATTGACTGATTTACACAGGGGTCTCATGCAACACCCCCCGGCTCCCAAACTCCGCATGTTTCTGTAATAGTCCCCTTTAATAGATACAGATCGTGCGAGTGCTGGTCAGGGACGCAGCGCTGACAGGAAACACATGGCATGCAGAGGGAAGAGGAAAGCATGTTCAGAGAGAGAGAATGTGGGATGGAAGCTGTGATGAGAAGAAATCTCTCTGACCACCACATACATCACACGCGTTTTGTTTAGTGTCTGTACTTTCCAGGGACGTGAACGAGCACACGTGTGGACGCTCTGAGTACATGCAGAAGGCAGCCGCCCCCTCGTCTCTAGACAGGCCTACCGCCCGCCCCCCTCTCAGACATGCGAACCAGCCATGTAAGTAAAAGCAGGGGGTCTTTATAAAAAACCCACATCTCAGTTTACACTCTCACTCTTTCCTGCTCTCCCCATTTTCAGCCTGTGTGCTTTCGCCTCCTCAAACTCCTCCGTCAGCAGGGGGTTATGCCCCCCAGTCTTCAAAAAAATTGCTCAGCTGCTTGGGGTCTCACACGGGAGTCCAGAGCAGTGACCCATGACCTCGCTGACCTTGACCTCTAAATGTGACTTTAGGCCTGAATGATCCTGAAATGTGCTGCTTCCAGAAGAAACCATTTTCAGAGTCGGGTTGGTTTTGTTTTCAGGTTTATCTGCCGTGGTTGTGACTCTTTAAAGAGCCCATATGCTACTATTTCGTATTTTATTTTTTCCCTTATTAGATGCAGTCATATGCAAAAGTTTGGGCGACCCTGTTTATTTGTCGAATTTAATATGTTTGAGGGCAAAAGTTATGACACCTTTTATAATTTATGTTTTTTTTCCAATATATCCAACTCCACAAACAAACAGAAAATGGTGTGCAACAAAATTAGCAGAAAATGGTACATTTCACTTTCTTCTCTGCAGAGCAGGTGAGTCACACTCAACCGCTAAAAGGGCCATATCAAAAAATCTTAACAAATCTGTGGGTCAGCTGTGTTTTCATTTAATTTTTACTTAACGTTTTGACCATGACCCCAACTGGCCATTGTTTGTTCAAAATATGCCAAAACTATAATGATCAAAAATAAGCACTGAATACTTGAACGATTCAAAAACGATTTTGAATAAAGACAAATTGCTTTATATAAAACAATAGACTACATTATCTGCAGATCACTGTTAAACCCCTTTAAATGTCCTTAATGTACAGCAGGTTTTTAGTTACTGCCCGTTTACCTGGCATCTTTTTTTTTGTTTTGCTTTGTTTTTGTGGTGCTATCCCAGAGATCATTGTTGGGGAAGGGGTGGGAGCATACATTACATTGCAGTGCATGCTGGGAACTGTAGTGCAGCTCATGGTGAAGTGGACTAATATTAATAGAAAATAACTTTGGTGGCTGAATAGGATTGTGCCACGGCCCTGACTTGGCCTGCAGGCCTTGTGTTTGACACATGGGCTGTAGAAGACGTGTTAACTTATTTTCACAACAAATGTCATTTGGCCAGACGTGTTCAAACTTTTGCTTATGACTGTATATGTAGTTTTATGTACCAAAAACAGTCATAATTCATTTCTACATGATCATTTTTCCAACCTCACTTTATTCCTTCAAATTAAACAGTGACTGTGCCTTTAAGAATGACACATCCATCAATGAGCTCTGATTGGTCTTGTATTGCGCCTTGTTCAGAAAACAGTCCAGGTTCAAACACTCCTTATAACTTCAGTGTGAATGGGCGGGTCTAAACTGCTGTCGAGTAGGAAGAGGATATATGTAAATGGAGCGGTTTTTGTGACATCACAAAAACAGTCATAATTCATTTCTACATGATCATTTTTCCAACCTCTCTTTATTCCTTCAAATTAAACAGTTACTGTGACTTTAAGAATGACACGTTCATCAGTGAGTTCTGATTGGTCCTGTATTGCACCTCTTTCAAAATGCAGTCCAGGTTCAAACACTCCTTATAACTTCAGTGTGAATGGGCGGGGCTAAACTGCTGTTGAGTAGGAAGAGGATATATGTAAATTAGTTAGTTTTTGTGGCATCATAATATAATGAATATAATACAGGCTGTTTTTGCAGCTTGTTTTGTATATATGGGCTGTATGAACTGAGAAATTAGCTGTACGTTTTGAAACAATGTTCACATGGAATATCAAACCTTTACAAAACAATGAGGAATGTTCAGTTTTCCTTGATTTGGGCTCTTTAAACTGCAGGGTGCTCACAGCCTGTTTGTTTCCCATGCAGGCCTGTGCTGATTTTCCTATCGGCCTACTGTTATGAATGAGAGGAGGATGAGGAGGGAGAATGTGGCTGGATAAAATGCTCCTAAGTGGGGAGTGTCAGTAATGAACAATGAGCACTAACGTAAGAGGCGCTAAATTAAGAAAACACATGTTTCTCCTCACTTAAAGCTGCTTTAGATCAGTATGGGTGGAGGAAACCCACCCGTTCATTACAGACAACCCACAATCTACAACAGAGCATAATTTAAAGTAAAGAGACAAAGGCAAAGGCTGTGGTTTATTTTTAGGTGACGTACAGTGTTGTGAAAAGTCAGAGAATATCCTGAATTTATTTCATTTCCAGTCAAAATGGCCATTAAGTACAGGTTATTCATTGTTTCATAAGGTATGTTTGAGAAGATAAGATGTAAAATATTCATTTTTCAAGTCAGACGTTTCCAGAAGTGGAGTTCAAAAAATGACTAGAGGATCAAGAGAGAAAATAAGACAGCAAAGAACCGTACAAGACCTGGTAGACCTCCAAATCTGTCCTGATCAGATAAACAGCACTTAAAGCTTTCATCTCTGAGAGAGAGGAGAAAATCAAGCTGCTTCAGATCTGAAAACATCCATAGGAGTTTCTGTCCATCCTTCCACTGTGAGAAGACGACTCAGTGCTCTGGGTCTGAAAGGATGTGTAGCTGTTCAAGAAGAACCTCACTGAGAAAAGGAGACGGACATATCAAAAAAAAAAAGAAGCTCAACAATGGACTGACCACCCCAGAGTCCAGACCTCAGCATCACTGAATGTGTTTGGGATTATTTGGATTGTAAGAACTTCTAGGACTGAACTTTGGAGGTGTGGAAAAATATCCCTGCAGATTTCTTTGAAAGACTGAACGCAAGTCTCCTGAAAAGAATGGAAGTTATAAGAGTGGACAGGCTAAATACTGACAACATGAGTTAAATATGTGCACCAAAAAATGAATAACTTATTGGCTGTTTTGACTGGAAATTAAATAAATGAAGGGGGGTCTCTGACTTAATAGTCCTTGATTAGAAGCAAAACCAATCTCTAGACCCCTTCAAGTCAACCATGAAGATGGGCCTGGCAGTGTTTATTCCTGACGCAGCAATGAACACCCAACCCCCAATACTGAATACCCCCATCCTCCTGTCTCTGGGAGTCCCAGTGCCATATCTCTCCACCAGGGCTGCTCCTGGGGTGGAAGGGCAGTGGGGACCAGAGTGGCCGGCCATCAGTAGTGATTAATGTGCAGAAAAAACTGGAGCAGAGGGATGGGGGTGGGGTTGGGGGGGGCTGGCTGTGCCGACCTACCTCAGGTCTCAGGGCTTGGGGCAAGGGGTCCTGCCACAGCTGGTGCATTCTCAAGGAACAATAGGATCATCATTACTAATTATTATTATTATCATTATTGTTATTATTATTATTAACAATAGTAGTAATGGTAGTAGTAGTAAGTGCGTACAATACTAAATTATAGTGTCAGCGATAGTGGCGTAGTATTAATAACTGATTCTATTATTTTATACTCTGGGAAGCACCAGCTGTGACGTGACCTCATTATTAATAACAATGATTATTATTATTGTTGTATTATTAATGGAATTACTAGTTAACAATATTTAATGAAATATGGTTGTTATTATATGCTTATTACTTAATAATAACAATACAAATACTGATCATTATTATTAGTAGCAGTCATTATTATTGTGGCTGTTGTTGATGAGGATGATGATGATAGATCATGAAAAATAATGTAAAAATGAATAACCTTAAAAAAAAAAAAAAAACATACACATAGCCTTTGTTTAATCCCCGCTCAAGCTTTGGCATTTCTTTAGGAATCTAAAGTGGTCCATGCTGTCATCTCCTTCGGCCCAACTGGAATAATGAGGTTGTGATGATAGCAAGGGGGGGCGTTCCTGTCGCCCAATGGTGGGCGGAGCTGCTCTGTGCCGGTGGTCGGAGCTCTGGAGATCTGACTTGGTAGTTCAGTACGAGACACGAAGCTGAGGGTGTAGAGAAGCTGCTGCATCTGGAGAACCGAGTTTAAGGGCTTTTTCCCTCACTGTGTGGAGGTAAGAACTCTTTTCTGGAGCAATACAACTCCATAATGGCAAATTCACTCTTTCAGTCTTTAGACACTGCAAGGTAGATGATTAGATTTAGATTAGAGGTCTTAACAACTATTACAAGAAAAAGTGAATGTGCCTCTTTAGGCATCCGGCTTTGCTTGTGATCAGCGCTTTCACCCACCTGCCCATGGTCTAGTAATGAGTATGAGTGAGACTGAGAAGTTTCAGACTCTGGCATGTCTACACCGGGTAGTGTGTTGGGTTTTATGGAGATGTTTGAAGGCAAATTTTTTGCGGGTTTCACTGGCAAATTGCACGCTGGCGGGTTAGGAGAGCAGCATACCGGACATAGCATTAGTATCATTTAGCCTAACCCTAAATCAATGAACCCTAACCCTAACAACATGTAATAATACTTTTAACGTCCTTAATATGAAGAAAATTTTGGGATATAGCTTATTTCAAGCAGCTGCTTTGTCATTTCCAGTAGCCAAATTCTTGTTGGACAACTTAAACTATAACAAATGTTTATTGTCCTCCTAAATTAAACACAGTCCAACACAGTAATAAAGAGTAGAGAAGATTTTCAGTGTATCTCTAATCTGCTTCCTTTAAACATAATGTAATGCTGTTTATGTGAGGTTATTTCTTGTTTACTCACTTGTTTGTTTGTTCCTTTCAGTCTTTCCACAATGTCGTCCCTGGACTTGCTCATATTCGTCCACGCTGAGGATTTTTACCTTACTTAGGAGAGTATACATGATATCACGCCAAAAAAGAATTGGAGTCTAAGCCACTTTGGTCCACCAGTGCCCCTCAGTGGACTGTGGCTGCACAGGTTGTGGATTGTAAAACCTTTCAGGCGCAGCGGGACCATGGCTGACTCAAAGGAGTTGGACCTGATAACCAAGCACTACAACTTCACAGGGAAATTCCGCAAAACGGACAAGGAGTCTGGGCTCAAGGCCGACTCTGTGGTGTTCATCATCGTATGCTGCTTCATCATTATGGAGAACGTGCTGGTTCTCCTCACCATTTGGAAGACCAAGAAGTTCCACAAGCCCATGTACTACTTCATTGGGAACTTGGCCCTGTCAGACTTGCTGGCGGGCGTGGTGTACACCGCCAACATCTTGCTCTCGGGAGCCAACACATACAGACTGAGCCCGACGCAGTGGTTCTTCCGGGAGGGCAGCATGTTCGTTGCCCTGGCCGCTTCGGTCTTCAGCTTGTTGGCCATTGCCATTGAGCGTCACCTCACCATGCTGAAGATGAAGCTCCACAACAACGGGAACACGTGGCGCGTCTTCATGCTGATCAGCACGGTGTGGTTCATCGCCGCTATTTTAGGCGGCCTGCCCATCATGGGCTGGAACTGCATCGAGAGCATGAAGAACTGCTCCACGGTGCTGCCGCTCTACCACAAGACCTATATCCTCTTCTGCACCACCGTCTTCAGCGTCATCCTCATGGCCATCGTGGTGCTCTACGCCCGCATCTACACCCTGGTGCGCACGCGCAGCCGCAAGCTGGTCTTCCGCAAGGTCTCCAACGGCCGCGGCGCCAACAAGAGCTCGGAGAAGTCCATGGCCCTGCTCAAGACCGTCATCATCGTGCTGAGCTGCTTCATCGCCTGCTGGGCGCCGCTCTTCATCCTCCTGCTGTTGGACGTGGCCTGTGAGATCCGCGCCTGCCACATCCTCTACAAGGCCGAGTGGTTCCTGGCCCTGGCCGTCCTCAACTCGGCTATGAACCCGCTCATCTACACGCTCACCAGCAACGAGATGCGCCGCGCCTTCATCAAGATGCTGCTGTGCAGCAAGGTGTGCAGCCAGCCTTCCGGGAAGTTCTCCAGGCCCATCATGGGGGCGGAGTTCAGCCGTAGCAAGTCGGACAACTCCTCGCACCCTAACAAGGACGAGCCCGAATACTCACCCAGGGAGACCATTGTGTCCTCGGGGAACATCACCTCCTCTTCTTAAATCGAGGATGTCCAGTTTGAGTCCTGGAGGCTCCGTTCACATTACAGGCCTTATCAATCCAGATTTTTTGCTTTGCCTACTTCTGATCTGGGCATTCTCATTACGGACACACGGCCATGCGTTGAATATGCATGTTGGACCACCTATAAAAGTGGTTTAAATCTGATGTCTGTGTTCACACTACCCAAAAAAAAACACATTTAGGCAAAAAACCTGATTTGCGCCATTGCAATGTGAACACAGCCTTAGCCCTGCGCAATTTGGTGATCCCTGTCGAAACACATCTGCTAAAGCAGGGAAATCATTAAACTGTGCTGGACTCCGAGCCTCCAGAACCAGAATTAGACACCCTGTCTTAAAGGGACTGTACATTTCTCCCCATCCTATGTAGTGAATGTGTATGTGAAGTGTGGATATCTGTCTGTTAGCATGTACAGTGTGTGTACGGGTGGGCTGGATTAGTGCTTGAACCGTTTCTACGCCTTTTAACTTGTGTGAAAATGCCACCTGAAAAGGGCTAAACTGGGAGAAACTGAGACTAAATGACAAAAATCCAGGAGCCCTTGCGTGGACTGGAAAGTGCTGCTCGTTTTTAAGACTCTTTTTTTTTTGCCACTTCTGAAGGACGTCCAGCACTGAACCTCCGTCTTCCTCCGATTCCACAACGAAAAATAGGGAAGCACTTAACAAACTGAGCTGCGTAAACTTGATTAATCAGTATTACCCATCGTCCTGTCATGTTGTGCGGAAAAGAAAACAAAACCTTGTTCCAGTCTGAGGAACATTTAGAATAGCACTTGTTGTAAAAGTGCTCTTTGAGAGCCATCATAGGCCTTACTGACTCTTCTGATAATGGATTGATTAAAAAATAGTTTGTTATGCTCATTTGTACCATTTCATGGAAATTAAATTAAAGAAATACAGTAGGTACTTGTGTTTCTTTGGCTTAACACGGTGGTCTTAGTGAGATTTCTTCAACCCCTGTTTGAGAATGTATTCTGGCCATTTGTTTGATCTCACTTTCACATCAGGTAAACAGTTGTTGTAGACATTCAGTGTACTTGTACAGTAGCTGCCAGTATTAATTTATCTTTGAAAACGTGTTGTGATGTGGACGAGGGTTAGAGGACAATGTGGTGTCTATAATTCATGCTCTTATTGTGTTTCTTACCATTATTCTAATAGATCTCAGTACATTGTGTCCTGTAGCTGATGCACGTGGTCTGTTCTGGTCGTCTCCCAAAGGGGACGGCATTTGCCTTTGCAATGTAGCATGGTTCAAATCTATGGAAATAAGCCGTGGCGGTGGGTCATGCATTATGAATAGATGTGGGGAAAGTGAACCTGAAAACAGAGCCCTTTCTTTCTAATGTCTCCATCGTCGGCCTCCCTGTCAGGGTTTTAGATATGGTTCAAAATGTATTGTTGTCAGGAATATGGATCCATGTAGGCCAGCCATGAGCCCATTTTGTCCCTGTTGTTCATTTTTGCACATTGTAACACCTGTGGTTTAGTTTGTCAATAAATATTTGCTGTAAAAACAAGGCTTTCGAGACTTAATGAAACAGAACTCTGTGCATGTCCTTATACATAGACACAGCTGTCAAAATTAGACAACACTGGTCATGTTTTGTTGATTTTTGAAGTGGAAATAAGGTAACACATCCTCTACAGAGAACACACTGAAATGTGACATTTTTCTGCACATTTCAATGCATGATTTCTATTTATTTGCTGAGATAAAATAGTAAATGTGCCATAACTTTTGCACAGGCCACATTTTATGATTTGATTTTCCTAATATGTTAAAATTCAGCAAAAAAACAGTAGTTGTGTATGAAAATGTGCCGAAGTGTGTCTCTGTAGAGGATGTGTTGTTACTTTTACTAAGAAAATCAACAAAACAGGTCATTTGACCAGGGATGCCAAAACGTTTGCATATGACTGCATATGTAAATTTCAAGAATTGGCATGATGTGAATATATTTTAAGTGACACGTTCTTTGTAACACATTCTTTGAAATGTATACACAAATATATTTCCCTTTAATATATGAAGCACTTTAGTTCATCATTGTTTATTTTTATAAGCTAAAATGCTTCAATTCACACATCATAAAATAAATACATAGATAATTAAATATATCAGTCCAGACTGAAGGGAAACTATAGAACAGCAAGACCAGCACTACACCAAAGAAAAATGCTTTACATTGTACTGAATGGGTCACATTCGTGCTCAGACAGCGCCATCTGCTGGATAATGTCTGAAACACACTTCACACTGCAACATGATAAAGCATGAGCAATTCAATTTCAGAGTTTGTGGTAATATATATTATATGGTTTACTAATTTACTACTTTTTTTAAGTTTTGCACTTTCCATTGTTACATTTATTAGGTTTATGTTTTTCATCTTTGCAATTCATATACACTCACTGAGCACTTTATTAGGTACACCTACCTTGTATCTAACCTCATTGTTCATTTTATCAGCTCCACTTCTTATATAGGTGCACTTTGTAGTTCTACAATTACAGACTGTAGTCCATCTGTTTCTCTGCACACTTTGTTAGCCCCCTTTTACCCTGTTCTTCAATGGTCAGGACCCCCATGGACCCTCACAGAGCAGGTACTATTTGGGTGGTGGATCATTTTCAGCACTGCAGGAACACTGATGTGGTGGTGGTGTGTTAGTGTTTGTTGCGCTGGTACGAGTGGATCAGACACAGCTGTGCTGCTTGAGTTTCTAAACACTGTGTCCACTCAATGTCCACTCTATTAGACACTCCTACCTTGTTGTCCACCTTGTAGATGTAAAGTCAGAGATGATAGCTCATCTGCTGCTGCACAGTTTGTGTTGGTCATCCTCTAGTCCTTCATCAGTGGTCACAGGACACTGCCCACAGGATGCTGTTGGCTGGATATTTTTGGTTCTCAGTCCAGCAGTGACACTGAGGTGTTTAAAAACTCAGCACTGCTGTGTCTGATCCACTCAGACCAGCTCAACACACACTCACACCACCACCATGTCAGTGTCACTGCAGTGCTGAGAATGATCCACCCACACAAATAATACCTTAATCTTGTTCCACAGGACTCATGCGCTGTGTGCTAAACCTAACCTGGTTTTATTTGTATCAGAGTGAGGCCTGACTGAGCGCCAGCATGGTGACTGTACCAGAATTCAAAGGAATTCAAAGAAAAGCTTGATTTCTAGGTAAGAGTATCACCTGGATAGGCTAAACCAAACACCCTCCTGTTTGGAGAAGTGGAGAGCATTTTACATACATACCACACGTTTTTTTGCTGCGGAACTGAATAATGTCCGAGACGTGCTGAGGCAGGGTTTACTGCCTTCTCCAGTCATGTGTGGCGCTCTCCTCATTCCCACAGGAAAACTACAAGCTATCTAATCCAGACATCACTGCACACTCAGCTGAGCTCATCAAGATTACCTCTTATCCAAATACTCCACAAAAAACCACAAGTGAATATTGTTAAAATATGCTTGTGAACAATTTACAGAACAAATAAAATGTTTAAAGTAAAATAGCCTGAAATAATAAATGCAAATGTCCTATCTAGCATCAATAGCAATAAAATGAACCTTTTCTAAGTTCAGCAAAAAGTCTTGTGAACAGAAAGGAATGAAAAGCGAAATTAGGAAGAATGGAGAACAGAAAACGTACATAAGGGTGAACAAACCTGTACTGAACAGCACGAAGCATGCCGGGTATCCAGCTCATCAATTTTACTCATAGATAGGCTTTAACATTGTTCTTGCATCTTATATGAGTTCCACTTATGACGTTTGTGCGCTTTATGAACCAAAAAGTGATCATTCATTTGTATATGAGCATTTTCCAACCTCTCTTTATTCCTTTCTTACCGTGCCTTTAAGACTGATAAATGTAAATGAGCTCCGTTCTGATTCACCTCCCCTCCATTACGCCTCATTCAAAAAGCAGTCCAGGCTGAAGTGTTTTCATATAACTTCAGCATAAATGGACAGAGTTAAATGGCTGTAGGCTGACAGTAAATGTGTTGATTTTATGACATCACAAAAAACAATGAATACATAATGAGCTGTTTTTGCAGTTTAGTTTCCTTATATGGACTTTAAATTTTATTAAAGTGTACGTACTATATCAAAATATTTATTCCAAAAAAAAAAAAAGCAACGTAAATTTCACACTATAAAGGCCCTTTAAAGTAGCTAAATTAACTAATTAGAAGGGCTGCCTGAATACTTTTGGACAGTGTGCTGTTTTTTTGAGCTTGCCTTTTTAAGAAAATAAAAACAGGCTAAATATGACAGAAATCTAGTGTCGTAAGTATGAAAGCCCATTTCAACCACTGGAAAAAAATATGTAGTGATTTAGTAAGTCATAATAACGAGAACGTTATGACTTTGTATGTCATAACTATGACTTAGTATGTCATAATTATGACATAGTATCTCATAATTATAACTTAGTATCTCATAGTAATGAAATTCAATCTCATAATTATGACTTAGCAGCTCATAATAATGGCTATACTTACCTTTTCATAATTATGACTTAATATCTCATAATTAGGATTTACTTGCTAATAATTATGACTTAGTATCTCCTAATTAGGACTTACTTACTCATAAGTATGACTTAGTATGACAATTATGACTTACTTTCTCATAATTTTAAGAAGCTTTTCTCACTATTATGAGATAGTTAGTAATTATTATAAGATATTAAGTCATAAATATGAGAAATCTTCCCATTATTATGACTTCTTGGATGCTTATATATTTTTCCCAGAGGTAGTAACGGCCTTCCAAACATAAGCCTGTCATAAACCAAGAAAATTCATAAACTTTCAACCACCTTCCTAAAAAGGTACACATGAACTTTTAAGAGTGTCAAACTGACTCAGCAATAAAGATGGCAAAGCTTCTACCAAACGCTGACTTTGGCATTTTGGTTGCTGCGTTCAGAGCCTATTTCATGTTCAAGCTTTGAATGAGGAACAGATTTAAGTCCAGTTTTCAGTACTTTTATACACCAAATGCTCACAGTAAACGGGCTAAATGTGGGCTAATGTGTGTGTATTAAATGTATAAATCTGTAAATTTCGTCAAAGTAACAAAAACATAAAAAACGGACTAAAGCTTTATGAACAAAAATGCAACCAAACTACACCCCCACCTTTGCACTTACTGTGGCCTTCATGCGAAGCATCATGGGAATATGAGTCTTTACATGTCAGCCTTTCCGTTCATGTCCGCGCGTGAGTCAGTGTGGAGAAACTACATTTCCCAAAACATGATTTCTGTCACCGTCGGCTCGTTTCACATATGGGGGGAAAGGCGAGAGACAGAGAGAAATGGAGAAAAGGGGAAGAAACAAACAGGGGGGCGATGAAGTAAAATGTTAAGCGGTTAAAAGGCAGGGGAGAAGCGCTAAAGTCCTTCCGTACGTGCTCAAAAAAGGGGACGAAAACGAGCTTCATCTTGTCCGTGCGTGTGGAACTTAGTGTGGAACGGGCGAGGCGCCTCCCTGTAGCCGGGCTGCTTGCACGAAGCTCCGGCTAAACGCCGCGCTGCACCGCGCTGTCTTGACCGACCTGGGGGCCACGAGCTTCGCCCACAGTTGTTCGGCGCCGTCGGTCATTAGCATGGCCCCGCTTCTTTTTCGGAGTGGCCTGATAACATTTAGCGTTCACGTTAAATCTATGCAAAGGGATAAAGGCAACTTTAGCCGCGAATTAATCTCGTAACGTACCCTTTTTTTGGAGAAGGGCGAAGTCCAGATAGTAGCCATAAACAAAAAGTGCCGAAAAAATTGTGTTTGAGATTAAACAAGGTAAGTAGTAGACTTAAATAAGCTGCTTGTGTAATATCTCTCCTTTACAATGTCATAAGTTGGCTTTAAAAGGCTAAAGACAAAGGCAAAAGCATGTAATGGTGACTTTTTGAACTTTACACGTGTTATTACTCTTATTATAATGGTATAATTCCATGTAATGTCAGGGCTATTATGATTTTTCTCCATGGCTGTTTTTCACTGTGGTCCACCTGCTCTGCAGTTTTGTGTTTTCTGCTGTGAAAGACCTAATTTAGCTCGATTAGATCACTAGCTAATGATTTGACAAGTTAAAAAAAAGACTAAATTGTCTATTTGGTGGGCTACGGCAGTGGTCCTCAGTCCTGATCCTGCTCCTGCCCTGCGTATTTTGGTGGTTTCCTGTTCTAATGCACTTGATCCATCTCAAAAGACCATATACAAGCCCCTCCTGAGATGAAGTGGGTGAGTTTGAGCAGGAAAAGCTCTAAGGACCAGTTTCCGTGACCCAGATTAATCCTAACCCTGGACTAAAAACAATTTACAGTGTTGAATTATTACTGGCTTTGCAATTTAGTCTAAGACTAGGCTTAATCCAAGTTTGAGAAAACCAACCCTAAATGTACAGGGCAAGGGTACTCCAAGACTTCAGATGACTGATTTATGCTATGTTTACAGTACTGACTGGTATAGACTGCTTTAATTTGAGTGCACCCTCATAAAGTATTCTCCTGCGTCAGCTTTTAGCAGCACCCAGAAGGCAGTCCGCATGGAGCGAGCAGGCAGCATCCAGCTGGACATTCCCGACTTCAGCAACTCCGTTCTCTCTCACCTGAACCAGTTGCGCATGCAAGGCCGCCTCTGTGACATCGTGGTCAATGTGCAGGGCCAGAGCTTCCGCGCTCATAAAGTGGTCCTGGCCGCCAGCTCCCCTTACTTCAGGGACCACATGTCACTCAGCGAGATGAGCACGGTGTCGCTGTCCGTGATCCGGAACCCTTCCGTGTTCGAGCAGCTCCTGTCTTTCTGCTACACTGGCCGCTTGTGTCTGCAGCTGGCCGACATCATTAGCTACCTGACGGCGGCCAGCTTCCTCCAGATGCAGCACATCATCGACCGCTGCACGCAGATTTTAGAGGGCATCCACTTTAAGATAAGTTTGGCTGACGTGGAAGAGGAGCTGACGGGCTCTCAGGCCCACAGGAGCACCGGCCGGACCATCGAGCCCGAAAGGGGTGGAGCTACGCTCGGAGGCTCCCGCTCACTCAGTCCCAGGCACGGTGGCTCTAGGGTGATCACCACCCACAGTGCTGCCGGAGGGGTTCTAGACATCCGAGACATCAGGGAGGTCCGTGAGGTGAGTCCGTCCGGAGAGTCCATGAGCCCACAGGTGGTGGAGCACAGCGGCCTGGGCGCCGAGGCCTCAGTGGGGAAAGAGCCCATACTGCGCATTAACCGGGCGGGCCAGTGGTATGTGGAGACGGGGCCTGAAGTAGAGAGGGGCGGAGAGGAGGGAGTGCGCGTTGTGGAAGGTCTGCGCATCAAGACGGAGCGGATGGAGGAGTGGATAGGGGCGGAGACTCAGGCATCGGCAGAGGAGGGCAGCGGTGCGGAAGAGGGGCACACCATGATGATTGACACCTCAGGACGCAGCACACTGGTGCAGGAGGGCTTTGTCACCGGGGCTTCCAGAGCCAAGAGCTCCCAGCCCTCCAGCAGCTTCAGCGAGTCTGAGAGGTGAGTTGTTGGAATGTTTTAGGCTGTTGGCTCCTAGTTCTGGTCCTGGGGAACCCCTTCGCTGTGTATAATGCACCTGATTGAATTCATAAGCTAATTAACAAGACCTGTGTGAGTTAAAGTGGGTGTTTTGGAGCAAGGCGAATGTGCACAATTGAGTTCCCCATGATCCACCATTTTAGGCTACATTCACATTCCAGACAATTTTTTGCTCAGATCAAGTCTATCTGACCTGATCTCTGCCTTATAATTCACATTTTAATTTACTTGATTCTGTCCCCACCTGCACTGAATGATGGCCACAAAATACAGTAAAATACAATAAAAAATGTGTGAAATTGTCTGTCCATTATCAGTTCGATCACATATTCGTGTACTGAATATGCAATCTTGTACATATGGAGTGAAAGAGTCTCATGTCTGAAAGCAAAAATCAGCATCTTTTGGAAGGATTCAGATTTTTGTGTTCACACAGCTCTGAAAAAATCAAATTTGTGCCTGTTCACACCTGTAATGTCAAAGTAGCTTTGAAGTTTTAAACAGCATAGTCAGGTTAGAGAGATTTAGCCTGAAAGTAGTAGCATTACTGAGTCAAAAGAAAAAAAACACAGTAAAATATGGTGAGCGTCCACTACTGTGAGTCGCCCTGTAAAGCCTGATATAATAAAAAAGTCAGAGACACGCACGGCCTCAAAAAGAAAGTCTGGCTCGATGTTTAGATCTCAAATGTAAAATTATAAGTAAACATTATACTGATGATGTGATGTGATGACAATAGTGCATAATTCACTCACATCCTCAGAAGACACAAAGTTAGCTAAGTTTAGACTGAGTTCTCTTTGAATTCTCTTTCAAGTTGTTCACAATCATTGGATTCATTTGCTCAGGGAAGGGGTCCGAAGCCCAGCCCACATTACAAAATGTTCTTTTGCATGTTGTGCGCAATTACACATTGCCACCAGAGAGGTCTCCAAATGCCCATTTCTTACACAGTGTACCTTTTAAATGTAGGGCTGCAAAAATGAACATTGTTTTGTTTTAGATATTTATGTGAATCGATTAACAAGCGGTTAATTGGCTTAAATGTGGCCTGAAAATGGGAAGAGCTGTAACAAAAAAATGTTTGGCAATGTTCTGACATACTGCTAACCAAGAGCTGACTTACTGCCACAGAAAAAACGTACTGACTTGTTTACACCCATAATTTTGAGTTACAGTAAGTGACATAAAAATAAATATGCAGTTTAACATTATGGCTCTTCAGGCTGCAGCATTAATTAACCAGTTAAACGTTTTAAGATGCTGCTCTAGACAAGCTGTGTGTGAACAGGTTTCCAGGACAAGCAGATGACATTTCACACGAAAACCATGTTTACAGAATGAATTAAGCAGTTGTCCGTAGTTAGCTAGCTGTAGTTAACGCTGTGTCAGCACAAGCTGCCGAATGTTCAGTAGTTTTTGAAGTAGCTGCCAAATACAGAAACTGATACGGCTCAGAGTATTTCAGTGACTGTTAGTAATGTAACATGATGAGCTTTCGTGATGTTTGTAAGAGTAACCGTTGCTCATTCTAACAAATGAGAGTAGTTTGGTTTGTCAGAACTCCAGCATAGAGGAAAAAGCTACTATTAAATATTAAGTTTGCTTCGTATTCACCAGCTTCTTATTTGTTATTCCGTTAATTTTTTTATTTATTATTATTTATTATTCTATTTGACCTTAAATGGTGCAGCCGTTGCATTAGTCTACATTTTATTCTTCATGAGTTCTGTAATGATATCTGGACATAAAGTGAGCTAAAACAGGAACGGCATGGAATATCGATTTTGTACAGTTATGTGATCCGCTAGAATGAAAGGAGAGGCTTGTGGTCAGAAATCTTTTTATACTTGTCTAAGCGTTCCAGGACATGGCAGTTTGGTGATGATGTAAATGCTGGTCATACAGTCATCTGTAAGCCAAATCTGTCATAATGAGACCGTTGACTTATTCACAAATGCTTCACGCACAACTATGCTCATTTGTGATTAGATCTCTTGTAGTAAGTAGGTCGGACAGCCTTTACGGAATATTGGCAAAAGTCCTGTTCAGTTGATTCAGAGAAATTGTAGTTTTGGTAAAAATACCTAACATTTCTGAGAAAGTTAGGGTAAATTTTATTTATTTTTTTTTTTGATAATGGAATTGTTAGAGTGCCAAATTTGCCATCATTTCCAACCTAGTTTCGATTAGCTATCAAAATATTCTATAACGTCTGCCCCCCCCCAGTTTGTCTGGGTCAGTTCGGTTTGGGACGTTTTGTGTGGGTGTATGAAAGGGTCTGATTTTGGTGTTCTCTGTCTCTTGCAGGTTTAGCCCAACAGGCAGCGTGGTGGTGATGGCCGAGAGACCCAGGGCCAAAAGTGAGTCTCCAGGAAGAGTGGACGACCAGAGACATCCCACTTCTCAGGTACAGAGACAGTCATGAGATAAGTGGCTCAAAAACAGTTATCATGCTGTTCTGATAATTGGGTCACCTTACATATATTAAACAAACACACATTTCATTGTCCTTATTAATATTGGACCATAATGTAAATGTAGATGTTTGTAAAATTCTTTCAATAAATTGTATCATCGTGATTCAAAGTTAGTTATGAAATAACTCGTATGAGCACTTCAGAGCCATAGCTTATAGCAGGGGTCATCAGTCTTACCCATAAAGGGCTGGTTTGGCTGCAAGTTTGCATTCTAAACAAGCAGGAGCTCACTTGATTCTACTTTTTAAATCAGTTGGTCTCAGTCTTTGAACAGTTTCACCTGCTTTGTTGGAATGAAAACCTGCAGCCACACTCATGCTCTGTAGCTTTCATTTCTGATAGTAATGTGATTACCGTATAATTACCAACTGGCATATAACCCTGTTAACATTCAATGTTTGTTTGGTTAATAGCCAGAAAATTGCAAAACTGGAGGTGAGTTCTCAACATTCGCCACACTTAAGCCGGGGTTACGCTACACGACTTTTACCCCGATTTTAGCCCTGATTCTCAGTCTGGCCGAGTCTGTGCTGGTCGGCTCTAGCCTGCAGATTTGTAGATCAGTCAGAGTCGACAGTTAGAGAGAGAATCGAGTCGTGTTTGAGGGGTGCAGACTCAGATTTTTGGTCTCCCAAACGCGTTTCAGACCAGTTTATCAAACGTTTCATTTTTTCAATCCGACTACGAGTGTAATCTAGTGTAAACTGATCAAGGACTCAATCTGAAAGGACTCCTGCAACAGCCAATGAAAACGGAGAGCGCGAAAGAAGAAAATACAAGTAAATTTTTCATGAGCTGATTTTAAGGCATGAGTACAATCGAGTTTCTGTACAGTTAAAACTCTAAAAAATACCACACTGAACATGTTTTTAAATCCATGAGCCTCACTTAAACATGTTTACCAGCTGCTTCTTTACTGTGTCAGCACAAACGGCAGAGAAAACTGCAGCAGTTGTGAGACGCTCCATGTTTGTCTATTTGGGTCTCCTAGAAACGGGAGTTGTCTGCTTTGTTGGAATGGAAACCTGCAGCCACACCCAGCTTTCGTTTTTCCTGATAGTCTGATAGTAATGTGATTTCCGTATAATTACCAACTGGCATATAACCCTGTTAACATTCAATGTTTGTTTGGTTAATAGCCGGAAAATTGCAAAACTGGTGCGAGTTCTCATCAACATTCGTCACACTTAAGCCGGGGTTACACTACACGACTTTTATCACGATTTTAGCCTGGATTATCAGTCTGGCCGAGTCTGTGCTGGTCGGCTCTAGCCTGCAGATTTGTAGGTCAGTCAGAGTCGACAGTTGGAGAGAGAATCGAGTCGTGTTTGAGGGGTGCAGACTCAGATTTTTGGTCTCCCGAACGCGTTTCAGACCATTCGGAGTTTATCAAACGTTTCATTTTTTCAATCCGACTACGAGTGTAATCTAGTGTAAACTGATCAAGGACTCAATCTGAAAGGACTCCTGCAACAGCCAATGAAAACGGAGAGCGCGAAAGAAGAAAATACAACAAGTAAATTTTTAATGAGCTGATTTTAAAGCATGAGTACAATCGAGTTTCTGTACAGTTAAAACTCTAAAAAATACCACACTGAACATGTTTTTAAATCCATGAGCCTCACTTAAACATGTTTACCAGCTGCTTCTTTACTGTGTCAGCACAAACGGCAGAGAAAACTGCAGCAGTTGCGAGATGCTCCATGTTTGTCTATTTGGTTCTCCTAGCAATGGGAGTTCTCAGGAGTTCCATTTGGTGTGTGATCCTCCCAAAAAATCTGCAAAACTAGTGTGAGATGCCCAGTCTTTTTATAATATGTTAAGACTTTAAAAGTCGTGTAGTGACCCTAAGGCTTTATCTCTGTTAGCTCATTAGCTCATCTGAAGAGGCAGCCTCCATTACTCATTCAACACAAAAACCTTCCTAGATCATTTTCACATCCCTCGTTTTTACAAAGCAAAAAACTTTTTAAACAGTTTTCATGAATACCAATAGCTTTACAGGAAGAGTCATTTTGATATCCTGTAACAGTGATAAAGTTTATGGAAACATAAGAGATTTGACAAATAAACGATGCAGTAAAGAGTTTCAGGAGTCTTGGCCATGTTACTTTTTAGACATATGCCAGGTTTCCTCGCGTAAGCCAGTATATGTTGTGTATTATTAGTGGATTTTGAAGCATTGTTGTTCCTTTTCTGAAGGCCTCTGTTGCAGTGTCAATAACAAAGCTCCCACACATCCTGGAAGTTTTGGGATTTCGTAGGCTAGTTCTCCACTAATGGAGAATAAGAAATATGATAAAATGGAAGATGTTGGGCCAGTAAGCCACCAAGATTGCATATTTCAACATATTCTTTCTTGCATACTTTGACATATTTTAGGTGCTTATGCTCAGTTTGAGCATTTAGCGTTACTAATTGTAAATAGTAGTGCTTCAGTGTCGCATGTGGACAGTAGAGTAAGGCTACCTTAGTTTACACACACCAGATTCTTGCATGTAACATTCAGTTCTTTTATGTCAGTAGAACTTGTGATCCAACAATAGTTAACATTAAAGCCAAACATTTGTTAAGGATGTCTGAAGTTGTGCGTCATTTTAAGATGAGCTACAGCTGTCCTGTGTGTCAGTCATGGAAATTGTCTTGGAATTTGTCCTGGAAAGTTATTTCCTAAAAAGAGTGGGGAAACCTAAGTAAGTATTGCTGTGAGTCATGACTGGAGCTTTAGGCAGAAAACAGATTAGGTTCTTTTGTACTGCATTTCCATGCAAACTATGTAAATAAAATAAAAAAAAAGCAAAACGTGTTGATGCCAATGCAAATCTGTGCAGAGCACGCAGGATTGGCTTTATTCAGTCGGAAACATTGTGTTTCGCCTACGAATGTTCACCTCTCGCAGGGCTGATGATGATGATGATGATAAGCTCTTGCTGGGGCTCTTTTGCGTAATGCAGAAGGCAAACTGAAAACTGCTCAGCAAACCAGCATTTTAATGCATATTGTAAATACAGTTTCTGGTTGTCTGCATATTGAATGCACATACGTTTCCCAGCAATAGATCAAATTTACACTGTTTCCCACCATGTTGGGTGTCTGCAGTGTGCTTAGTTTTGCCCTACAGCATACAAGCGAATGGAAGCTTATACCCCACCAATTATCAGCATGCTAACTGCCTGCTCAGCTCACACTTGCCTCAAACTGTGTCGCATTGATCAGTAACCAAATATAGATTGAAAGATTGAATAGCACAGTGATGTCTGCAAAAATGTACAAAAGTACAGGCAAAATTCAGGCTTCAAGACCGCTACTACTATGTTTTTGGCTTTGTAATAGTTTTTAGGTGATTGATGGTATTGAGAAACGCTGAAAGATAGCATTTGTTGCTATTACAAATCAAAGTGGACACTGTCTGAAAGTGCACTGTTCAAGGATAAAGTAAACCAGTTTTGTCTCATAACCTGTTTGCATAGTCCATGTCCTTTATTCATCCTGATATTTTGTCTGGCTTTAGAGCACACTGTAGCAGCGAGCAGAAGCATTTTTCTTTTTTACCATTGTCTTGCTTGTTAAACAGAGTAGTTGCGCTGTAGCTTCTACACACAGAACATCTTCCCTCACAAAACATGAACATGGGTTTAAATTGGCCGTTTGTGGTTCCATCAAGGTTAAAAACAAAAAAGACTAATTTAATGCAGCTCAGCTTAATAGCCTAGTAACAATAATAGGTTGCAGTAACAGCAACCTATAGGTTAGTCTCAGCCTCAGATGCTCTAACCACACAGAAACGGAGTGTCTGAAATCTTTTGCACACAAAGTGGGTCACATGTAGCGGGTTTTCTCAGTTGCATTCTTATTGCCTATAGCAGGGGTTGGCTCTGGAGCTGCAGGCAGCTCTTTTACTGTCCTGTTGCAAAGTTAGCAGCACAATTAGATTTGTAGGTAAAAATAAAATTATCCACCTTTGCACTAAAATAAAACTCTGCTGATCATTCAACACAGTTTAAACAATAAACGGTCTTAAACCTTGGAGTTAAAGTAGCCTATAACTGCTTATTAACCAGCCTTTAACCCTAAAGATCGGCACGCAGACTGCTAGTCACCATAGCAACAGAGACAACACCTAGCTAGTTAGCTAACAAAATGGCAAAGAGAAACCTTAAGGTGAACAGCGATAATGAAAAGACGAACGTTGAGAGACATTTTACAAGAAACTATTCTACTTTCGTGGAAAAGTTTCCTGCTAGAAATGCAAAAAATTGCGGCTATAGCTGAGGTGAAGCTTAAAGCAGAACAAAGTAAGTCTGCGTTTTTGTTTATGTTATGTTTTTTAGCCTATGCGAGGACATTAGCACGTACTGAGACATATTTACAACCAAGATGGTAAAACAGACATAAAATATTGCGGCTCCCAATGTGATTCGATTTTTGTTGAAAGGACAAAATCGCACTTCTTAATATTTGGGTTGCCGACCCCTGGCCCATACGCAAGTCCATGTATACACACTTACATACAGTCTTTATCATTTAAATGACCTTCTCCTGTCCTGTCGTTGTTGGCCACTTGTATATAGTGCAAAGTAACAGACTTGTGAGACTACCTGTAAGCTAAGTTTACACATTAGAATTTAGCTTTTGAACATCGGGAGAACAAAGCTCTCTCCAGTTTAATAAGGCTTCTCTCTACTTTACCAGCCAAGCTGAAAGGGTTATTGCTGGAAGGTGCTGGGATATCAGTCAAGTGGGTTCTAAATCTGTGCGAGAGTTTGGAGTAGCCCCTTAATGAATATTCATTCATTATACATGTAAAGTCATGTACATTCGTCTTCACCAAACTGCCAAGCTGTGGCTTTAATGCCAGCAACCAAAGGTTATTCTCTTGGTTATTCTCCTTTCTCTTCTCCAGGGAGAGGAGCCTGCTGTGTTCGACATGGGCGGCTATGAGGAGTACCTGCGGGAACAGGTGGGCGACCGCTGGTTCCGTTACAATCCGCGCCTCACCTGCATCTACTGCTGCAAGTCCTTCAACCAGAAAGGTAGCTTGGACCGGCACATGCGTCTGCACATGGGCATCACGCCCTTCGTGTGCCGCATGTGCGGGAAGAAGTACACGCGCAAAGACCAGCTGGAGTACCACATCCGCAAGCACACAGGCAACAAGCCCTTCCACTGCCACGTCTGCGGGAAAAGCTTCCCCTTCCAGGCCATCCTGAACCAGCACTTCCGCAAGAACCACCCGGGCTGCACTCCGCAGGAGGTGTCCCACAGCGCCTCGCCCGAGACCACCACCGTCACATCCCGCGGCGGCCAGAATGAGGATGAGTCCCCCAGCCAGGAGGACGCCGAAGGCAACGGGGCAGGAGGCAGAGGGGGCGGGGCTTCGTCCTTTGGCGAAGGGGTCCAGCCGTCTGTTTCTACCACTGGGCCCGACTGAAGGGGCTCAGTGGAGGTGGGGGGAACGGGGTAGGGGGGGTTGGTAGTGATGGTGGGCACGGAGATTAAAACGGGAAGTTTTTCCTGCGTCCCACCGTTCGCACTGAGCACGTGCAGAGGGCATCAACTGGCTCTCTGACTGCTTGGAAAGCTGCTGTCAGTGAATACAATAATGGATGTAACAAAACAAAAAATGGGGAGGGGGGGTTCAGCTGAATCTGGCTCACTACCTACACAAACGGTGGGTCTTTTATCATATTTTTTTTCTTTTTGTTTTTTCTTTCAATTCTAGAAAACGAGACAACAAAACAAATGCAAAGACCAGTTTGCTAGAAAAACTAGAGAATACTAGTGTTCTTTAGGTATTTATGAAATATCTGCGCTTTAAACCGCATCTACCTTCACCGTACAAACTGAACCGTAAACGTCAACAAAAATGAAGATAAGCCACACTCCAACAACCTCACACACCACTGGATGCAGTGATTTCTGTTTGTTTCTGTTTTTGCCTTTCCTGTCTTTTATATGTTACAGTTTTTTTATATTTTTTGTACAACTGAACAGTGAAGCTTCAGAATTCAGGACAAAAAAAGATGTTGTAGTTATGATTTGGTCAAATTGTGTTAAAATTGCCAAACTTCTCTGTGCCAGATGGTGATTATGGAAAAAAAAGAGGATGTTCCAGTCCTCTGTCACTTTGCCTTGAGACAATCTTAATAGATTAGCCTGGGGTTTGACGCTGCTACTGCTCCCCAGCTCTAGCTAGGCTAGAAAAACGGGTTCTGTTGTGTGTTAGGGCCCCCTCAGGTCTGATCTCGCGTCAGATTCCTAATTTGTTTATTGTGCCAACTTGGCTTGTCATAAATTCTTATGTTTGCGATTAGTGGATAGGCCGAAAAAAGAGATCATTAGCCGTTGAACTGTTCAGGTTAACGTAATTAACAGTCGCATTAAGTGATATTAACTTACTCAGTGGTTAGGCTGATAATGCCATGTGGGAAAATAGAGGACAAAAAAGATAGCAATGATTGCTTGTTTGTTTGTTTGTTTATTTGTAATCTTCCCTGTTATGGCCTTTTTTTTTTTTCCTTTTTTTAATTTTTGTACATTTTCCATACTCCAAAACCAGCTGCTGAATGTTAATACAGTAATATAGAAAACAGGAAAGTCTTCAACCTCAGATAAGCTACAGTACCACTCAGTTACCTCTCACTCATCACTACGCAATACAGATCTGTTACATACAGATTGGTGGATGCACTCAGCTCAATTTCACAATGTTTTTATTTTTTTTCTCCTTTTTTTTTTTGTACGTTTTAACTGTTTTTTTTTTTTTTTTTTTTTTTTCTCCTTTTTTTTAATAAGTGAACTGTCTCTCTGACCTGCTCTGTTGCTCTGTCTGGTTTGTTAGAGCTGAAGGGAGCAGGTTGTTTTTGTGGGTTTTTAGCCTTTAGCCTTTGTTTTGTTCTGTTGCGGCACGTCAAAGAAAATTGGAGTCGGAGCCGAACCAAAAGCAGGACACGCACCGCAGTCGTCCGTGCTATGCTGCGCGTGCGTGGGACGGATGGGGAAGTTTTATTTGCGGAAATGCCACGGAATGACTGTGAGTTTTAGGATTTCCCATTATCAGAGAGGAGAGCACTTTAAACATGGGGTCCGGCGGGTTTTTCCCCTCTCGACTCAAGAACAGATGTTTCCAGCTGGTGCTATGATTTAACGGATTTAATGACAGGAGCTCTCGGGAACCAAAGGAAATGTATCATAGATGCTATACCTCTGACACTAGGTGGAAGACGAGGATTTGAAAAAAGAGATTACATCCGGCACTTCTAAAGAGTGGGCGGGCGGACGTTGTTTTCTTTAAAATATCTACTAAATATCACTTATGCATATATAGACAAATTTGTATCTGTAAAAAAAAAATAAGATGCAGTGTCTAAGATGATGGAAAAGGAAAAAAAAAACTTTGTTAGGCTGTTATGGAGGATGGGTTTTGGTTGGTTTTGTTTTTTATTATTGTTTTTTTTAGGCTGTGAATCACACACAGTTGTGACCCTTTGTTTCCCTAAGGAACGAGAAGAGAAACAGCTACTGATATTTACAATGGAACGCACCTCTTATGAATACAGGTCAGGACTTTTCAGACTTTTACCTTTTTTATTTTTATTTTTTTATTTTTTATTTTTTTTCCTCCTTCGTTTGGTTTGTTTCTTGGCTTGCGTGAACACAGGTCAACACCTTTTACAAATATCAGGAACTTTGTGTTCACTCTGGATGTTTACCTTTGTTTCCATACCAGGCCGTTCAGCGTGAGCCGTAGAGCTTACGGTTAACTTCACTTCAGAAGTGCAGCAAAAAAAAAAAAAAAGAAAAACACAAAAAATAAGAGAAAAACACGAACATCTCCTCGACTCAGTGTAAATACCTATGCCTCAGAAGCGGTAGCAACAAAAAAAAACTGTCATTTCTGCGTCAGTGTATATTACTGAAGCCAGGTCAATGTAAAAGCATGCTGATGTTGCAGGTTTGTTTTTACTCCAGTGCGACCTCATGAGAACAGCCAAGATAGATTAAGACTTTATTCCCATCGTAATCATAACTGAGTATGAAACAATATTATGAAAACTATGAAATAAGATCTTTTGTTTGTTTGTTTTTTTAAAGGTGAAGGGCATAGGCCTGTTTGATGTTGGCCAATAGTGAGGTGATGGTGATGGAATATCTATATCAAATATATATGTATTGTTTGCTTTTATTTTACTGTTCAGTACAATGCGAAAGCAAGGGATCTACGTCAGATATTAAGCATTCCAAGTGTGTTATGGAATTACAAAAGAAAAAAATGTATGATTTGGAGTTTAGGGCTAACGAATACGTCCCGTACATTAACGCTTTGTGCATATCTGTTCTAGGGGTGGGCAGTATGGAAAATGTATTGTGATATATTGTGATTCTCAGAATTCAAAAGACAGTGGTGTCTCAGTTCGAGACAGTTTTTGATAAGATAAATATAACTAAGAATAAGAACAAGATACAATGCAATGAGCTACTATATTTTGTATTAAGGGATGTAAATGAATAACCAATTAACCACTAACTGGCAATTACTATGAGTTGAGGAAACGCTGAATTAATTTTATTTCATTTTCAGTAAAAAGCAGTTCCTATTTAAATAGGCGGGTTAACATAAAATCTTATAAATGCGCAAAAGTGGGCAAGAGGCAATTGGGTTCTGCTAGGCAGACCTACTAAAACATGAAAGCTAAAATTGGTGGTGGTCAGGAGCACTTCCGTTCGAGACGACAGTAGCACAGCTACAACAGTGTACCATATCAGAAGCAAAGTGAAAAGACAGAATTGTTTATGTTCTTTGATAGACAGTGAGATAAACATGTCATAGCAGGTATGTTGGTTTCCCCCTGGGCTGAAATTGAGTGGTAGATATAGTGATAAATAGAAGTTTAGAATATAGAACTTTTAGTATCTGATCATTATATCACTGCTGTCAGAACAAAACCTCGTATCTCCAAAATGGTAACTTTACAGGAGAAGGAAACATACTTCACTTTTAATGTAAGTCAATGGAACCAGACTTTTTTCCAAGTCATTTTGGGCCGTTTCTTTCGGTCCGTTCATCATGAAATTTACACACAATATAAAGGGCAACAGGTCTTTTCAAATTATGTCAAAAACTGAAAAATGACAAAAATGGAAATATGAGGTTTTGTTCTAAAGTGAGATATGCCAGTCATTTTGTCAACTTTTCCATTTTTGGTCATACGATTGTATGCAAAAGTTCTGGCACCCCTGGTCAAACGATTGTTCCATAAAGAACAAATTAAATCTAGAATATTATTCTGCACATTTTAGTGCACCTTCTCTTGCTGTGTGTAACATAATGGAAAAAATAAAACATGAAATATAAAATGTGCCATAATGTGTGCACAGGCCATATTTAATGCCCTCCCCCCACCCCCATATGTTCAACCCAGCAAATAAGCATTAATTGTGCATTAAAATGTACAGAAGTGTCTCTAGATGATGTGACTTATTTTCACTTAGAAAATCAACATGTCATTTGACCTGGGGTGTTCAAACTTTTGGATAGGACTGTATAATTATGAACACAGTTATCAGCCCTTCGGTTCTGAGTTCTTATGTTGGGTATGTTTAATACGACTTCACATATGCGCTTATGCCTGACCCCACCTATCAGTACAAGGTTCAACAGTTCATAAAGGAACAAATTTAATATCTTGGTGCTTTAATCCAGAATGCAGTTCTGCGTATATCAGAAACAAAGTATTTTACGGCCTCAAGCAAAGCTCAGTCAGTCAGACTGGAAGTTTTTGTCTTATAACTGATATTTGGATGGGGTGCGTCTTTAATTTTAGGCTTTTTAGGTTAAAAGCCAACTAGTGACGGTCGGTTATTGGTCCAAAGAATTTACCAAAATGTGCATCCCTAGTTGTACTGTTACATCCCTACTTCAAGACAGATACACGATATGCATCATAATATTCAGGATTTTTGAGGGTTGATGAGATGAAATAGACAAAAGAGAACCCATTAGATTTATAGTAAAAATATACTATAAAAACTATGATTACGATGCTTTTTATTCAGCGTTTTGCATTCTGCACTGCACTAAATCCAAATAAACAGGACTAATAATGCTGTCTTTGAAATGAAACATGCAGTTCAGTGTTCTCCGAGTACTGGCGTCTCCACAACATGCCCAGAAAAGTCATTCACCACCTTAACGACAACTCATCCTATTGCTCACCCCTAATCAGTCCTGATCTCTGACCGGTCAACATGATCTCGTCCCAGTTACCCAAAAGCACTGATCGTCTTAACCGTTACTATTCAAAGTGACATTTGCTCAAATGACGATCCTGCAGCGCTTTTGGGGAAACTGTCCTTCCTGTTTATCTTTCTGCCTTTTTTGAATGCTTTTAAAGCTTTAATAACATAGAATAAATGTGTTATGATGTAAATAATAGTACTATTGAAAAGTTTTTAATAATCAATACAGCTACTGCGGATAAACGGCATTGACTGAACAAGCGTTCTGTATTAGCGTACCACAGTGTTACACACCCCACGTAGTTTCTACGGTCGGATTTTACAAAGCGAACTGTTTGAAATTACTTTCCAAGTGTGGTTTCACCTCATGTTCCAACTGATGTGTAGATAAGCTGTGGAGCTGAACTGACACTATAGTATTCTGTTTACTACCGATTTTGAAAGGTTGCCAAGTTACAGAGCAAGTTTCTAACTAGAACCTCAAAGGGGAATTCCACCGATTTTGCAAAATTTCTGCATTATTAAAAAAAATACATTGATTCTCGAAACTTTTATAAGACAGAGTCTCAGACATCAGGCACTCTGCGGTCGTCTGGTTCCCATCAACACCACAGTGAAGAATCCTGATGGGTTCTCTAGAATGGAGCATTTCACTAAGCCACTCTGAATGACCTTGTACAACTTGAACAGGGGTGTCAAACTCAACCAGTAAGAGAGACATATTAAAAAGTCTCGTCTTATTTTTAATTAATGTTGTGCTGTAACCCAAACTGCCCATTGTTTATTCAAAATATGCAAAAACTTCAACAGTAAAATACAGACACCTTGAAATATTACATGGACACTCAAAGTATTCAAAATTTAAATGTCCCCAGGAGCTCAGTCTTTTAAACCTACCTATTTGCTTTAACTAGACACCTGGCATCTTTTCTTTACTGCAGGTTCATTAAGACTGTAGTACGTTGTGAAACGGGTTAATATTAATAGAAAATTAAAATACCTTTGCAGGCCATATAGGATTGTGTGGCGGGCCTGATCTTGTGTTTGACACATGGGATCTTGACCGTTTAATTATGCAGAAATTTAGAAAAATCGGTGGAAGACGATTAAAGGCGTAAGAAATCAAAGTGTCCTTTAATGGTTAATAATTGTAAGTCAGTGATTCTTTTGGAAAATGTGGTGAAATATTTTAATACTCCTCACTCACAACTTACCACACTTACCTCAGTATCTCGGTCTTTTTCGTCACAGTAAGCTTGTGAAGAGTTTTCAGTTGCATGTCTCTAAGTAGTTTTTTTTTGTTTGTTTGTTTTTATTTTTTTGGGAACACTGAATGACAGTACTGAGCCATATCTTCAGATTTGTTCAGTCTTGTCTCATCAAAGTCCCTCTGGAGCAGAATATTTTGTACAGGGAACATACTAGAAAAGTCTAATGCAAACCTTTTTGTAATCGTCATTTGTTTGATTTGAATTAGCAAACAATTGCGTGACTGCATCAAACGTTTGTTTTGGTTTCATTATATTTTGCCTCAGAAAGTCTTTGAACAAGAAAATGACAAAAAAAAAAAAGATATACACTCAGAAAAGTAGAAATGTTACTTGTTAATTTGCATGTCTTTTGTGATGGCCAAACATGAATCTGTTCATTAGAATGTTTGTCATCTAAATTTGCACCGATAAATGCCAAAATAATGACCTTTTATCTTATCTTTGTCTTGCTATATTGTTTATGTCCCAAAAGCAATATAGTGTATAAAGTTATTTCCATGTGTGTCTTATGAGATGTTGATCACTTTTAAGCATACATGACATTTTTACCTTTTTGAATAGGTATTTTACTCTGGATTAAGTTTAAAAAAAAATCCCAAACTATACCTAGTGTATAAAAAATTACGCTTATATTTAAATTGTTAGACATTTATTCAAATAACCAGAATATTAATTGTTAAATCTCCCAAAGTAATATAATGTAAGAGAAGTATCGCAAATCAGTGATTTTAAACTCCCTTTTAAAATGGTACAAAGATACGTGTGATTATTAGCGATTTATAATGTGAATGGTTCTTTTCACAACCACTGTTTCTTTTTTTTCCTCACTAGCAGACAGGTTTTGAGTCCATTCTCCTAAAAGGAAATGAAGCACTTTAAGTGTCAACTGTGAAGGATTTGTTACAATGTTCTATAAATGTCTAATTATAAAAAAGCCCATATTGTGTGATACTGCTAAACCCAAATTTCTAATATGGAAAATAAACCTGTTTTAATCCTATTGTGTCTAAATTAGTGCATCTGTTTCCTGATTATTTTTATTTTTTTAAACTTATTTATTTTTATCATGTACAGTCATATAGAAAAATTTAAAATATTTTAGTGCACAATTTCTATTTATTTGCCAAAATATAATATGTGCCATAACTTTGCACAGGCAACAGATTTTTTTTTTTTTTCCCCCAAATATGCTAATTTCTCTGTAGAGGATATGTTCACTAATTTTCACCTAGAAAATCAACAAAACCTCATTTGACCCAAACTTTTGCAAACGACTGCATGTATAAGCACTTTGAGCACCAGGTTCACTTGCATTAACGTGCATTAAATGGCCATTTTTGCGAATGTTTTTGTTTATTTGTAATGAGTAATGAAAAAAGAGCACCATCATGTCTGATGGATGAAAATGAAAAACATCATCAGATGTTGCTCCTCGCTCTGCTCTTCCTCCACTCGGTCCCGAGTGTAAGGAACGAGCTGCTTTAGCTGCTTTCGCAGGGGTTGGAGATGCGGCCAGAGAAGATGAGGGTGTTGATGGTGGACTCTCGGATGAAGAGCAGGAACGGCCGATTGGCGGTGAAATTCTCGCGATTCAGGTTGAGGGAGCGTCCGAGGGCTACAACAGCCGTGGCAGCCGCCGCCTCGCTGCCCTCCTCGTTCACCTGTAACATCAGCCGAGCTCCCGTTACACACCAGCACTGATTCACTGACCACAACAAAGCTGTCTGAGTTACACCGTTTGTACTGATGTAGAAACTTTTTTTTGCTCACATTATTTAAAACCAACTATGCAACCAAACTGTTAACTGGTGAAACTTTAATCAACAGAATTTGGGTTAGGATTAGGTTTATGACGTTGAGTCTAATCTGCAGATAATACAGGTAATGATTTGTTAAGTTTCCCTGTGAAGACCTCTCTACCTGAAACATACTTAAAACACCTTCCCATCGACTTTTATTCTGTAGAAAAACTTGTTTCTGCCAGAAACAAAAGGTTTTGTCCCGTCTCTGTTTCTGGCAGCAGTATGGCCAAAAAAATGGCTTTTTTAATATCTCACATTTTGGCTCATGTTGCAATAAATATTGATTTTTCTTGAATTTTTGACGATACGGCAATGACCTATTTTTTCAAACTTTTGACGCACAATAATACTTTTCTTAATTTTTACAGTATTGACGTATTGAATTTTTGATGTCTTACAATAGTTACTTATATTCTTGAAATCCTGACCTGTGTTACAATAATGATTTTTTTTTTCTTAAAATTTTGACTAGTTAGAATATTGATGTATTTTACTGAATATTTGATGTTACAATAATGATTTATTTTCTTGATATGTGAATGTGTTACAATTATGATTTTTTTCTTGAAATCCTGACCTCTGTTACAATAATGAATTATTTCCTTAAAATTTTGTTACGATATTGAGATTTTCTTGAATTTTTAATGTATTACAATAATTATTTTCTTGAAATTCTGATGTTACGATAATGAGATTTTCTTGGGTTTCTGACATTTAAATCCTGGCTTATGTTGAAATAATAGTTATTTTATTTGATTCAAAACAAACTTTTAAGACAATAAATCATTATTTCAACATAAGTGGAAAAACAAGAAAATAAGCCATTATTGAGATGAAAAGTCATAAATCTGGACTTTTTGCAGTGCCAAAAACAGAGAGGGGAAAAAAGTTTTCCTTGTTTATTTTCCACCTACTTGGTGGAAACCGTATCCATGATGTGCTTTAAGTCTGTTTTCTGTTCTTTTACTTTTTGTGCCAAAATCATTGGCAGTGGTCAAGAACTGGTGCAAATGAAACCTTTAGAGATTAGGTTGAAAAACACTTCTTTTTCAGGCAGAAGTCCTCCAGACCTTGAATGCACATTGAGTGATTACTGGTAGACAGTAGATGGTCAGTCAGTTACAGCTCTACCAGTGATTGTAAAATACAGGACTGGATTCATGTTCTGGGTTCGAAGATCGCTGCTGTAACTTTAGGGTTAGAGTTGAACTTAAGTTAAACATCTATAATACACCTACAGTGAACCATGAGAAAAACACTTTACCACTGTTCTACTCAGGATGAAACAGGAACTTACTTCAAGGAAAGCCTTGTGGTAGGCATCAGAAATGTAAATGCCATTGCTGACATCCTCCACTATGCCTGAAAAACAGTGCAGACGATGACATCACTGAACTTTGTTTTTATTGAACCACAGCTGCATATCAGCTTCTGAAAGCAGACGAATGGAGGTCTACCTGGCAGACTGGCGTGCTCTGCACTGAAAAGATGCTCTAGGCCCATATCCTGCAGCTTCTCTTTGAGGCTGAAGCTGTCCTCGATGCGGAAACGGGGGATCTGCACAGCCACTGTTGTTTCAGCCATGGCGGTCAACCAACCAGTGAGTTTCTTAAGGGTTAGACTTGTCGCCACCTTTATTAAATAGATATAAAAGTTAGAAATACAGAGACAGAAGAAAACAGTTTAATAGTTTACATTAGAGACGTCACTTAGAACACTAGTTCTCAGTGTTCTCACTAGTTCTCTTTGGGCCGTTGTACAGTGCACGTTTGCATTGTCGCTGCTCTAATACAACAATAACGGTGGTGATATGCTAATTGTTTCAATTAGAGATATGGGAGAAAACACAAAAAGTGCACAGAAAGCTATTTCAAAAATGAATTTTCCTCACTTTTTTTAAATACAAGTTTGGTGTAGTATGTAAACATTAAAGTTTCAAAACATACTGTTCACTCACTTCTATACAATATATATGAAAGCAAAGCTGCAAAATTTTGAATTTGTCTTTGTGATGTCACAAAGGCCAACACGTTAACATATATCCGCCCTATCAACCTACAGCAGTTTAGCCCCGCCCATTCCCATTGAAGTTATAAAGCGTGTCTCAACCCAGACTGCTTTTACAATACAGGGCAGCCAATCAGAACAGAGGTCATTTACATATACCAGCCTTAAAAGGCACAGAAACAAAACAGCCCGTTTAATTCTAAGGGATAAGAGAGGTTGAAAAATGGTAATGTAAAAATGCATTATGTATATGAATATGTATATATTTATATTTTTGGGACATAAACTGACATGAACATCATTAAAAAAGTAAAAAAAATAATAAAATGCAAAAAAAAAAGGAAATGGGCCCTATCAAATAATCTTATTTGTGTGGTTTCTGGCACTCTATGATAAACTGTTGTCTATAAAAATGGACAAATTTGCCGAACGCTAACGGCTGCTGAGCTTCCGTTATTCATTAGCTACATTAGTCTTTCATGAAGCTAATCAGTGTTATTGTAAGGAGCTAATTACTCCAGTCAGGAGTGCTAGTGTAGTGCTGTGCATGTGGATACGACTGGGACCTACGGAGTTAGAAAATCATACCTCGGACAGCTTAGTGTCTTTAATGGGCAACACCAGCACCATGGAAATCCCCCCTCCATTGTAGGGCAGCTCAAGCACCTTCACTTTGTCCTCTGGGAACTTTCCGTACCTGTATTTGGCCTCCTTGTACATCATTTGCACAGGGCACGTGTGTGACTCACTGATGTGGAATTGTGATGACATAACATCAGCTTTGTCAAACTTATTTTTCCACTGGCCCTGCAATGCAAAAGAACAGAAAACCTGCTTATTGAAAACATACTCGAAGCATCTGTTCATTGGCTTGTGTTATATATGGAGGCCCATTTCTGCCAAGTAGAAAAAGAAGACGCCTCCCTGCTTCTGGCAGGAATATGTGATGATTTTATTTCTGTATAAAATTGGATTTTCTCAAATTATGATTTATGCCAAAAGGAGTTACGATATAATTTTGCAAGGAGAAAAGGGATGATATGAGCCAGTCCAGGCATATTCAAATGGACCAAGTCTCTGCTACATGATGTCCAATCCAGTTCTGAACCTTGTTATATTTTTGTGCTGTATTTACACCACTGTCACCGAGCCATGACCTGCGGCAGTGAGGCGTGCTTTCAGAAGTTAATAAAGCACTTTATATGTCTGCAACTTATCTGTCACCCCTTTTTTGTCTAAAACAGCAAACCCAAAGTAAAAGGAGCGCTGTCCCACATTCGTTGGGCTACAGTCGTGATCTTGGTCTCATTCGAAAGGTAACACGCTCAGGTTTTTTCCCCAATAGAATAACTGCATGAATTACTGACAGAGTAACAGAGGCTAGAATGGAGGAGTTTATTTCTGACTGAATCACAGATCTCTAAACTGATCTCTGACTCTTGCCATGTTATCAAGACCACATGTATTGGATGATGATGTCTCTGTGGATAAATTGCTGGACGATCTCAAGGTGAGGAACCACAGATTTGCTAGCGTTATGTTGCCAATGAGATTATCATAACTGCTGTGAATAATAGATGGTTTGTGGGAATTAAGGCCGGAGATTCCAAGCTTTCTAACGATTTATTGTATCACTGTATTGCTGGAAGGGCGGCACGGTGGGTAGCGCTCTCGCCTTACAGCAAGAATGGCCTGGGTTCGATTCCTGGCCAGGCGACCAGGGTCATTTCTGTGTGGAGTTTGCATGCTCTCCCCGTGTCTGTGTGGGTTTCCTCCGGGTTCTCTGGTTTCCTCCCACAGTCCAAAAACATGCAGTCAGGCTAAATTGCCCCTAGGTGTGAATGTGTATATCTGTCTGTCTGTCTGCCCTGCGATGGACTGGCGACCTGTCCAGGGTGTATCCTGCCTTCCGACCAATGACAGCCGGGAAAGTCTCCAGCACCCCACCGCGACCCAGAAGGATAAGCAGTTTAGATGATGTGTGTGTGTGTATTGCTGGACAATTTGATGCATAAAAATGATGTATAAAAAGACAGAAGTGGACCCTTCGATGGCAGTGTGTCGGAAGTACAGTGACCTTTATATGCAATGCCATTGTTTTAACTATTGGTTAATATTATTTTTCTCCACCCACTGGTGCACAGTGACGCAATAAAAAAAGAGGCGGGGAAAAAGTCGTTATATTTTGATGGAAGATTATGGTGAAGAAATAGTTAAGTTTTTTGAATGATATATGATGAATCATGCTTATTATGACCAGAGATATTAACCAACAAACGAAAAAGTCCAGTTGGATTTCAAGTTCACTTTTAAACATGATTAAACTAGCCATGGTGCACCGTTATTAAGCTTCTAATTAAGCTTCTAAGTATTTTTTTATTGAATTGGTATTGGTATCGGTCAATACTTAACTCAAAGTACTGTAACTGGATTGGGGGAAAAACTGGATCAGGATGTCCCTAAGTAATAACAGTAATAATAATAATAAAAATAATTGTATTTGATTATAAAAAATAACAATAACAACAAGAATAAAAATTTATATTACATGACCAAAGAGACAAGCGAAAAAGTAACCAAAACAATATAAACAAAATCAATAAAAGGAGATACCTTTATTATTATAAATTTACAGGGGAACACAAGACACCTCAGTATATGATTTCAGACACAGAAGGAACTGTACAAGCACAGAGTGAAGAGGTGTGTTTTGGTTTAAATGCTGACCCAGATAGCACGCAGACGTGGGCCACTTCTGGCAAACATAAGGCACTGCTAGCCCACTGCTGGCACTGGCAAACTGCATGTGAGCCAAAAGTGGCCCACATTATAACATGCTTATCTGGCCCACATGTCTTAAAACAGATCTGGCACAGATTATGTTGGCCAATGTAACATTTTTAGGTTAACTGAAATAAAATAGTCCAACACAATCTGCCTCAGTACTATGAGCACCACTAACTAAATAACTTTGCTTGCAATTAAATTCAGATGTGTTTTAAAATAATTTGTTGCTGACTTAAAATTTTGTGTTTACTGAACACCAGATAAGCAAGTTAACATTCTGGCACCCGGACAAAGTTGTTGTGGTCATTTCATAGAGGTATGTGGGCCGGATGAAAGCAGTGCAGTGCTGTGAAAAAGTGTTTGCCCCCTTCCCGATTTCTTCTATTTTTTGCTAATTTGCCACATTTAAATGTTTCAGATCATCCAACTAATTTTAATATAAGATAAAGACAACACAAGTAAACACAAAATGCAGCTCTGAAATGATCATTCCCTTTATTGAAGATAAAGATTTATTCAAGACCTATATTACCCATGTGAAAAAGTAATTGCCCCCCTAAACCTAATAGCTGGTTGTGGCACCCTTGACAGTAACGATTGCAATCAAACATTTGCGATGACTTGTGATGAGTCTTTTACATCACTGTGGAGAAAGTCTCGTCCCCTCTTCTTTGCTGAATTGTTTTAATTCGGCTACACTGAAGGGTTTTTGAGCATGAACTGCCCGTTTAATGTCCTGCCCCAGCATCTCAATGGGATTCAAGTCAGGACTTTGACTCTGCCTTTTGAGCTGTTCAGAACATGCTTGCTTGTAAGCTTTGGATCATTGTTCTGCTGCTGAATGCGTTATTCACCTGGTTAGTTTATGTCTCTGGTCAGCTCCGGTTTAGCACAATTCATCACATCATATAATTTAAAAGACAAAATATATCAAATTATTAATTTATTATTATTCAAAATGTGATGAATTTAGCCCCGCCTCTAAAACACCTTCTGAGTTTTGATGTAACTGCACATCAGCAGGTGGAGAAAAATAATATTAATTAAAGATCCTCTTTGATACCACATGCACATCATGGTACAGAAAGAGAAAATGCATTATGATTTTCCATTCATGTTGACTTTAAGAACCTCTTTACCTTACAGACTTGCCTACCTTAAAGTAGATGGTGTTGACCAAGACCAGTACAGCAGTGGAGTCTATCGAGCCCTGTGGCAGGGTGTTGTTTATTTTGCCTTTTGTCTTCTCAGAGATCCACTTGTTGATCGTCTGCCTCGAAAGTTCAGGTTTCTCCTGAAGGAAGTGACCAAGACAGATTAATGCAGGGACAGAGGCTTGATTTGAGTTACGATTTATGGAACATTTAAGAAGGTGACCTTGAAATTGAGGGGCAACAGCTTGGCTCCATAGACCACTTCACTGATGTTCTGGAAGGTCTCGCTGAAAGTCAGAGATTTCTCTCCGAACAAACGGTTGGCTGAGACCAGTTCTACGGTGTTGTGCTTTTTGCGGTAGAGGCGACAGTTCAGCTTAGCAAAGAAGAAGTGAACCTGGTCTGAGGTCTTCTCCTTTATTGTGTCAAACTCAAACACCTACAAGTGGAAAGCAGGGGCTGAAAGTCAGCTTTGCTTCTTGTAGAGAAAAATCAAGTTAACGCAAATTTCCCTGTAACCCAAATGTGGCTGATCAGCCAAGACGTTTGGTGTCCTTTGCTCGTTTAGTCTGGAGCTACAAGTCTAATGTAGCTGCCTAGTTATGGAAGCTTATGGCCACCAATTAGCACTGTGTAACCTACCTGCCTAAATCATCATAAACTTGCCTTATAACTTTGTTGAATTGTTACATAATTTTAAATTAGCCTTGCTAACATGGTTTCTGACATTGTATGCTAACGTAGTTAGCTAATGAGTTCAGTCAGGGGTGTAAGAGAAAACAAAAGAGCAAAACATCGAGTCTTAAAGGGAAATTCCACACACAAAAAGCTTGTTAAGATTAAACAAGGTCAGTCCAGTCAAGGTCAGGCTTGATGTGAAATGCTCTGTTCTGGAGAAACTCAGCGAGTCAGAATTGTTTACAATGGTGGTGATAGGAACCAGATGTCTGAAATGTTTAATGCCTTTAAAAGCTCCTTCACAGAAAAATATAATATGAAATGGATATGAATATGCTGCCTGATGCGTGGCATTGTTTTTCAATTGGCAATTAGGTTTTGGCCTAAAATGTATTTTTAAAACCCCTTCATGGTTGAGAGGACTATGCAGGGAAAAAAACTAAACTTTTTTCCTTATTTATCACTCTTTTACCACCAACATTATATAGCAAAATTGAAAAAACTATAAAAGACATGGTCATTTTGGATAGTAAATAAAGTGACTATATTTGTGTTGTAGACATTGTGACCTCTGGTTCCTATCACCACCACTGTAAAGAAATCTGAGTCAGTAAATTTCTCCACAATTAAGTATTTTACCATTCATTTTGCAATTTTATTTTACTACTTTACTATTATTTTACTATTTTACCCTTATCAACATTATATATCAAAACTGAAAGAAAAAAAATATATATAAAAGACATGGCCATTTTGAATAGTAAATGAAGTGGCTACATTTGTGTTGTAGACATTGTGACCCCTGGTTCCTATCACGACCACTGTAAGAAATCAGTCAGTAAATTTCTCTACAATTAAGTATTTCACATCAAACCACTCTCTGACTTTTTCATATCTTGACGACTGAATTATGTAGGAATTTTGAAAATTCCCATTTAAGTAATTTCAAATGCAAAATGTAAAAATGGACAGATTTGCATAATAATAATTGGTAATAAGTTTCCATTATTTGTTAGTTAGATTAAAGCAACAGTCAAAACTAAAAAAGTGAATTTTGGGCACCAAACATGACTTGGCTGTGTCACATTAAGGGAAAAATGTGTAAATGTGTTGCTACACTGTCATTGTAAAAAATGATAAGTTAATCATTTTCTCTACTTACTTTCATGATCTGCTCCAGTGTGGTATTGCAAGCCCCCAGCTTTGTCATAGCAAAAGCTGTGGAGATGCTGAGGGGAGACATGAAGATGTTTTCCTCATCAGACTTGCCCTTAGAAAGCTGTTTCAAGAGGGACAAGGCGAAGTGGCCGTTGGCATTGGACAGTTCCCATACTCGGGGGTTGGTGGACTCGGGGATCTTCTCGGGGGGCTGTTCAGTCGGTGATTCTGCATCATCATGTACGTTTGGGTTACGATAGACACACATTGGCTGCAGGGGCAGGTCCTTGGGCTTGGAACTGCAGATGTCTGTAATGGCATGAACTGAGCAGATGGAGAAGATCCACAGAGCTCCTATAAAGGCCAGCAGCTTCATTCTGATCTAGAGGGAAGAGTTTTGAAGATGTTCTTTACACATTTAACGAGAACCTCTTCAGGAGATCGAAATGTAGCGTCAGAAACCTGTAAGATTTAATACCAGCTTTACAACTTGCTTTGTTCTGAAATCCCATTTGAATTTGTAGACCACCTCACAACAACTGAGTTCTGTATTCATTAATACAATCAATTAATTATTACTGAGAGTACTGATAAATGAAGTAAGACCCCAGTTCTGTTTAAACTGAGGGGCTGGCGACTTATTTTCTTAACAAACAGGCTGAAAGAAAACAGGCTAAACACACTTAATAGTAGCTAACACGCTTCCTTAGTGAGACATATTTACAAGTAAAACAAGGAAAAAATAAAAACAAGCCGCATTTTGTCAAAAAATGAAGCACTACACTAGTTTGATTTGGAATTTCTGAAACATGATTCATTATTTGTTGAAAGCTCAATTTTAAACATAGCTGGGCCAAAATGCAACATTTTCTTACACTTTGACTGCAAATGTAAGAGAAAAAGACTTCATCTGAACTGTACCAAGTGTGGAAATGAATGTGTGGAACCGTTAGCTTGATGCTAACACGACGCAGGCAATCACACTGAGGTGCCTATGGAAAGACGCGTTATCATTGCGGTATTAATTTGGTGAATAAAGACAGAAACTACTTTACTGTGTTAAAACACTGTCATGTTATGATATTTGTATCATTATATGACATAAAATTTAATAAGTTCATGAAGTTACTGCAATATACAGTGACAGGCGATTGAAAGGTCTCCTTCCTCCACAGCTGCTTAGCAACAGTAGGCAGCATATTGTAAAGCAGGGATGTCAAACTCAACCACTGACAAAAATAACAATCTCAACAAATCCATGGGCCAAAGAACACCTGTGTTTTATTTCGTTTTTTGAATAATATAATAATATTTTGCTATAATCTGATATATTCAAATTTTTAAATGTTTAAATACACAATATTTATATATACACGCACATCACGTTGCATTGCATGCTGGGGATTGTAGTGCAGCACACTACATTCTAATATTAATAGAAAATCTAAAAAATTAATTCGTGAACAGGATAGGATTATGAATAGGATTAGGATTGTGTGTTGACTAAAGGAACTAACCTACATTTATCCACCTTGTTTTTCACGTGACCACCGTGTTTCAAGATTGTGGCTGAAATATCACATGACAGTTAGGGAACGGAAGTGTCGGTCCTTACCGTTTTTCGCAAAGTTTAAGAAAGTGTGCTTACTTTTTAAGTTATTGTTTTGTCCCATTTAAATGTCCTTGAGGCATTTCTGGGACAACGTGCAGTTTGTGGTTGTCTACGGCGGCGTTTTGGGGCCTTCGAGACTAAAGTCGTAATATTTGGAGGATAAAGTGGGCTGCTGTACTGTAGGGGGGCTGCTATAACGCGTTGGGGTCTCGGTTGCTGTACTGGCGCCGGAGCTCCCCTCACTCCTGTCTCTCTGTGGATCATTTTGATCATCATTCTCACTGTCTGTGAAACTTCATGCCCTCTTTGAATGGCGCGGAGATGTAGCCCCCGATAGCCGTGTAGACGACCCTGCCTGCGATTCCGTCTGGCTCTTTACTCTAGATAAACTCAGTTTCCTGCTCAGCCGCTTCTTATACTAATAACAGGCTGGTGCTGATGTGCCAGGAGAGACAGGGAGACTGAGTGTCTCTTTATGGGTGAATCGATATGACAGTACAAGTCCACCAACTCCTCACCGCCCATCACTTTAACAAGGGGATGTGCTGCCTTTCCTTTGCAAAGCCTTTGGCCACAATATTGCGACCTTTCCTGGTATTAATGCCACTTTAATGTCGTAATTTTACCCAATTATTTTTCTCGAAAAAGTACTTTTATCTCGAGATATTACGACTTTATCCTCGAAATATCATACCGTATGACTTTTTTCTGGAAATATTAGCTTACGACTTTATTCTCGAAGTCTACTGTTTTTATTTTTATTAACAGTGGCCCTAAACCGCCGTCGTAGGCTGTCAGTACAGCCGAGTGACGATTAGTATAAACAGGCATAGCATAAACAACACAGAGCTTCAGCAGACATGAAAACCTGGCTTCATAATGACACCTTGAAAAAGGTCAATACTTAAGAGTTCAAATCTGAGCTGAAGTCAAACCAGTTGGTGAACTGCTAGTTTACTGCTAACAGACTCGCTTTAACTGGCTTACACCTTATATCCTCTTTATAAGTGGACATATTCTGCCTGGCTAACTGGCCATAAGGCTAATGCGACAATAATAAAAGACAGACTTCAAGTTCAGACCTTTAAATAAAGCATTGCTTAAAAACTGAATTGTCTGTTAGCTACATGTCTGTTACGAACTAAAAATATCTATGTATTTAGACTGACAAAGCTAAAAATCCCAAATAGCGCTGAGCTAATCTTGACGCTAGCTAACGCTCCCATGATGAACTTACGGGGAGTATTATCGAAGCACTGCTTTAAAAACAGATTTCTACATTAGACATTGTGTGTAATGACATTGCTTTATGGTTTCCTCTACCTGACTGTCAGTGTAAACCCAATTAAACACTCTAAATGAAATGACTTAAGTGTGAATAACTGGTGTAGGCTATAAATAAGGGCTATGAAGCGATCAGGTTCAGGCTTCTGTTCACAGACTGATTAAGCAACAAACATCGGCTCACAAGCATTCGAGTACCCCAACAATAAATATCACCGATAATTTTATTTTTTCCCACATTTCTATAAGGTTAGGACGCTATAAGCATTCAACACACTGTCAGAGCCGCTTTATAAGCAGCCTGGGCTCTTCTTCCTCCCCGCGTTGTATCAAAAACACGACTGCTAAACACCAGAGGGCGCCCGCGAACGAGTCCTCAATGTATGGGGGTAAATGAAGCTAAACGGTTAAAAATGAAAAGTTAAAATAGTTCCTAATCTCTTGCCCAGAACCTTCCTTTAATTTTAAAAAGTAGAAGTTTGTACTTCACTAAAAAAGCAAAGAAAACCTACCTGTATGTTTCCTTTTTCTACAGCAAACGGGTTTTGGGCAGCAGGACGCTAGCATTACTGCTACTGAGTGTTGATTGATTGGCTGTTCGCGCTCAGTGACGTCACGGAGGTGCATGAGACGCCGTTTTAAACTCGAGTTCAAAAGCGTTTAAAAATATAACAGCGGTGTTAAAATGTTTTATGCTGTTATGTGTTCAGAAAAGAATAAGCTACTTCACCTCATGCCAAGAACTCCTTACCTGAGATAATATCACAGTTACTGCATGGCCTCTACTGGTTTATAACATCTTCCAGAGTGGCTCAGCCAATCAGATTTTAGGACTGGAAGCATGTTCTGTTTTGTTTTGTTTTGTTTTTTAATCATAATCATATTATTTGACCTGTTTTAACATGAACGTCATGTGATAAAGTGAATAAAAAGGAAAGAAAACATTTCTGGAATATAAAGAAACTGACACAATATGAGACCAGCAGCAAGTACACATAAGACTGTCAGTTAAAAGAAAAAAAAGCCAATAATCCAATGTCAACATAATAATCATTAGTGATTTTGGAAAATGAGTTTCTCCGGCTGGTAGAGATGCTGGAGCCGTGCTTCTATAAAGCGATTTTCTGTTGTGAAAAGAGCTACACGAATAAAACCAAACTGAAATGAATTTCCTCTTACCTGTTGTGGCCGTAAATCCTTTTTAGAAGGTAGTGCAGCGTTGTGCACTGTAACAACAGCAAGTGGACACTGCTCTGCAGACCAGGTCAGTGCCCCACCGAGCACTGCAGCAGAGCAATTTACTCAGCTCAACCTTTGAGCTATTGATCAGTTTGGTCTTGCTAGTCCACTCCTGAAGAGATTCACTCTGTCTAATAGTATGTAAACGACCAAATATGAGGCCACACTGGAAAACAGAGTCTGCCAGCAGTTTATGAATGAAAAACAACAAAAGAGAACATCCATGATTTTTATTACAGACTAGAATAGCTAGAACCAAGATCTAAAGAAGTGTTCTACACAAAATTCACCACATTTGATATATTATGTCATCAGTTTGAAGAAGTTGACCAAGCTCTCTGTAACTGGACGAAACTAATTAAGCATCTAGTTTACTGTTTGATGACCAGAAGTCTATTTTCAAATGCTATTTTTACTTCTGCTCATGTTTACATTCATTAAAGGGGAAGTCCACCAATATTTTCCAGCACAACTGCATTGTCAAGCTGTAGACAAAGTCAAGCAGAGTGGTTTGTTGTGAAATGATTCACTGTAGAGAAATATGGCAAATCAGATTTTCTTTACAGTGGTGGTGATAGGAACCAGGGGTCACAATGTCTACAACACATAGCCTTTTTATTTACTGTCCAAAACCATCAGTGTGTAGTTATTCAGAAATCTAATGTTAATACTGGTAAAATTGTTGTAAAATCAGAATAAATGTCATCTCTTTGGGAACTATTTTGCCCCGCAACACCCTGCATGTACCTCTCCGCCAGGCTTTAGACGTCTGGTTCCTATCACCACCACTGTGAACAATTCTGAAAGCATTTCCACCCTGAACGACTTTGTTTACACCTTAAAGATTTATTTATGCCGAAATTTTGAAAACATCTGTGGAATCCACCTTAAGAGTCTATTTATTTAATGGTTCTATTCCAGTCCTTTACATTTAATTCTCTTTTTGGGGGGGTTTAATTCCATTCTGTTATGTTTTGCTTTCACATCTCTCAGTTTAGAGCTTAGCATTTTCTTTTAGACCACAACAGTCCAAAAAGAGAAGAGTCTACGGAGTCTCACAAGCTTCAGTTCCTGTATTGAGAGATGCTGGATGTACTAAGAAGTTCCGCCGCAGTTCTAAAGGGAAACTTTGGTTGTTCGTTTACTTCTCGTTGAGTCAATATTTAATTGAGGAATGATCTTACTAGAGGATGGGGTTGGGATCCTCCCACCAGTTCTGTTGGTGATGTCAGCAAAGGCAAACAAAAACTACAGGTTTTGGCTTCACTCAGCCAAAGAGCTAATCAGCTCACCAACCAATCAGCACCCCATAGCAGTAATGCCAACCAATCAGAACTCAGTAGCGGTAATGCCAACCAATCAGAACTCAGTAGCAGTGATGCCAACCAATCAGAACTCAGTAGCAGTGATGCCAAGCAATCAGCAGCCAACCAATCAGAACTCAGTAGCAGTAATGCCAACCAATCAGCACTCAGTAGCAGTAATGCCAACCGACCAGCCCTCAGTAGCAGCTCACCAACCAATCAGAACTCAGTAGCAGTAATGCCAACCAATTAGAACTCAGTAGCAGTAATGCCAACCAGTCACAACTCAGTAGCAGTAATGCCAACCAATCAGAACTCAGTAGTCCTACTGCTCAGAACCCATTTGCTTTAATAAAAGGAAACATCCAGGTAAGTTGTCTTTGCTTTTTGGTCCTGGACAAATGGCTAGAAACTATTTTAGCTTTTTGTTTTTAGCCGATGAGCTTCATTCACCCCCATTCATTGAGGACATGCTAAGGGCGCCCTCTGGTGTTTTGCAGTCATGTTTTTATATAGCAAGTTAAACAGGAAGTGGCCAGGCTCCCCTTAAACAGGCTCTGCTAAAATACGGCGAATGTGCGCTGCTGTGAGTCGCCCTGTAAAGCCTGAAAAAATCAATTATAAGTCTTTAAATATTGACGTCATGCACACAGGCTCAAAAAGAAGGTCCAGCTTAATGTTTAGGTCTCAAATGCAAAATCAATGTACTGATGAAGATAGTAGATAATTCACTCACATCCTCAGAAGACAAGTCCTTCACCAAGTTTTGACCGAGTTCTCTTTGAGCTCGTTTACACCTTGCATTAACGTGTTTCGTGTCCGGTTCATATGTGGAGGATCTTTGGCCGGATTCTATTTACACTTTTCACTAAAACGCATCTCCAGTGTGACCAGATGAGAGCCAACTGTACTTTCCCCTACGTGAAAAGCACATGCGTTGATTCTGCTTTGCTTTACTCTTTTCCCAATTATGATACCAGCGAATTACACATGTGCAATTACACATACCCACCAGAGAGGTCTCCAAATCCAAACATCCATAATGCAGCTTTAATATCTTGAACAAATGATGTCAGATAATGAGTTATTAAATTTCAAGAAAGTCAGTAATTGCTTTGGGATAATATGTTAATACTAAGTCATTAATTTGAGATAGTAAGTCAATATTTTGACACATTTTTGCCAGAAACAGAGAACAGATCATTTTTTTCCTCCTCTACCTGGCAGGAATGGGCTTCCACATTTGTATCTTTCCTAAATATACTTACATTCAGACATCAAACTCTGTGAATAAGGAAGCATAATACTGTGACTCTCGCTCTTTGTCTTTTCTAGAACATCCTGTTCCGAGAGGCTAGAACCACAGCTCCGCCAAAATACAGACTGTTCCTCTTTTCTTACCCACAAGGCACCTGCTTTATTGCACTTCTTTTTAAGGACGGATCAGTTCTCTTATCTGCGAACTTTTGCCCTGGATGCAGCACTGCTCTACATAGCAGCATCACAAACTAGCTATGTGAACACATGTTAAATTTGCTCTGTGATGTAGCACAGCCAGCAACAGAAAGGCTTTATAGTGGTGGATCATGGATTGTTACAATGTTTGGGAGTTGAGTGTCTTGATTTAAATCTGCATGTGGTTCTCTTTTCAGCTACTTCCAACACCTGAGGAATTTTATCCACCTACGTCTAAAATCTAAATGTCGGGGAAAAAGACTAAAACCTTACTTTTAAAATGCTATTTTTTGGATGTCTTCAGTAAGTGGGGAAATACTGAAAACGTATCTCTAATTTGTCTTCAAATGTTATTAAACAAATTAGGTATATGAGTATGTTAAGTTTGAAAGTCCGATTCTTGGCTATTGACCACAATACACATTTCCACTGTGCATCAGTTCGTCTCAGATGATCTTTAGCCCAGAGAAGTCGGCGGCGTTTCTGGATGCTGTTGATAAATGTCTTCTAAATGCAGACTTGAACCGTGTTTACTGATATGGGTTTTTCTAAGTATTACCAAGCCTGGGTGGTCATATTCATTACAGGAGCATTTCTGTTTTTAATGCAGTGCCATCTAAGAGACGAAGGTCACGGGCATTCAACATTGGTTTTCGGCCTTGCCCTTTACACACAGATTTCCCCAGATTCTCTGAAACTTTCAGTAAATCTTATGGACCCTCAATGGCCTCATTCAGCCATATCTTCCTAGTTTTTTTTCTTAAATTTGTTCTTGAAAAAGGTGTGTAGATTCTGTTCTTACCCAAGAAAAAATCCCAACTAAGAAAACATTGGTGAATTGGTCAGAATCTTCATGAAAACTGCCCAAGTGGGTTTAAGAAGAGATTTCATTTTAAGAATGGTTGATGAAGCCCAATGCTCGTCAACTGTTGGGACTATTTACCTGTAGAAAGGCATCAAATTTGGAATTAGTGTCTATTTACAACAATCAATAGAGTTGATAAGGTAAAATGTTGTATAGCTTTTTTTTTTCAATTAAATACCTGTAAATGACAGTTCACACATCATTGCTTTCCATTTTGTCATTTTTTGGAATTGAGTTTGTATCAACTGAGCTTTAGACAGGAACGACCCCTATAAGAAACTCCTGTTTATTCAAATTTCAGCTGATATTTTCTAAACAATCAGAAGAAAGGTAAATACAATTAAAGAACAGCTTTGTCATTAGGTCATGTCAATAACCTGCCTCCTACACTACCCCATTTTATTTAAACCCAACTTACCATTTTTAAACATGCCAGATGTCAGCATTCTTCAGAAAGAGCTAAAGGATACATTTGGGGGTGGTTTCCTGGAAATCAATTAAGGCTAATCTTAGACTACACTGCAGTAAATCCTTTTTAGTTCAGGTTTAGGCTTAATCTGGGAAACTAGTCCCTAAGAATGCATTAGTGGTGGGAAAAAGAAAAAGAAAACCGCAGTGGTGTACAATATCATTTAATCACAATCCCTGCCAGTACAGAATTATTGTTACACATTAAGTTACACTTTTTAAATAATTCACTTTTTCTTGGTTTATCTAATTCAAACATCCAGTCATTTACCCTCCTTCCTTCCTTCCCTCCCTCCCCTCCAAAGGAAAAAACCAATTGTATTATACAAAAATGCAATCCAAAATTTCACACAGTGAATTCTTTAACATAAAAAAAAAGTTCAACAGCTAAATCCACATTTGGAGAAATATAGTCCTAAACATTCCTTAATGGAGTATAATACAGTATATAATAATAAAAAAAAACCTTATACTGTTACTCATGTTGCAGTTAGTCATGTACCTTAATTTAAGCAATCTTATGCGCTAACTTGGGAGTAATCATCAAAAGCAATTACATTTCCCAAGATCAAAAAATTCACAATTAAAATATCAATAATAATAAATGCAACAACAGACCCACATCACAAAAAACAAACCAACATGTGAAGGGAAGCAACAAGCATGTTCAGCGTGAACAACAAAGAAGAAGAAAAACAAAACAAAAACAAAAACAAAACACTCCCATCGGGATGCTATCATCCATTTCAACACACCGTCCTACAGCTATGAGCTAAATACGCCTGTGTGGGTGTGCAAACTTCTTCCTTCTACTACTACTACTACTAAAACTACTTCATACTGTCCATTCCGAAAGGCATGGTCAGCGACGAGTCTTTCCTGACCCAACTGTGCACTCTAATACTCATCTGTCCAACTGGACTCCCTCCCACCACCCACTACTTTCCTCTCTCTTCTGTTTTTCTATACATTAGTAGTTTGAAACATCAGTATTAAAAATCTACAAAATGTCCAAAATCAAAATTAGACATAAATGAGATCAACATTTACACTTCTATTAGCATCCATGATCAACATTTACATTTCTATATTGGGGGGGGGGAGACCTCCAAGGAGAGACACTTGAGGCTTTTTCACTTGCGGCTGAATATAAATACGACATTGACACTTTGAGTAAAATGAACAGGTAAACAATTTGGTTCCCTTTTACATTTAAGAGAATCCTGCCAATTTCTTACAAGCTTCTTCAGAAATTATTTGGTGAGATGTAATTCAGAGAGGCCTCATGGAACGGCTCATTAAGGAGACAATGTGGTGGTGACAGGAACCAGCGGTCACAATGTCTACAGTGCAAAGATGGCCATTTTATTTACTATCCAAAATGACCAGTGAACCTACACGTGTCTGAGTTTTTATATGTTGATGGTTTTTTTATACAAGCTTTCTTCAGACATCTGGTTCCTATCACCACCACTGTGAACAACTGATTCACGTTTCTCAACAGTGCTTTTCAAATCAAACCACTCTGAATGACTGTTTACATCCTGACCATCTAATTACGTTGAAATTTTAAAAAATTGGTGGAATTCCCCTTTAAGATGTTTCCCCCACTGGCTGATAGGAGGATGTATGTGGATGTTGCTTTGCAACAATAGATAAAACAGCTAATCGTTAACTGACTGATGAATGCAATAATTCAGTACGGAGCCCTTCGAAGTGAAAGACTAGTCTTATCACCGCGTTTCATGTAAAGAAACAAATTCAAACCAGTCAAGAAAAAAAAATAAAAATTCCAACACAACACTCAAAGAACTTGCCTGGATGTGGTCGTTTCCCAAAGTGACCCACTGAACAACAAAAATGTGTACGGTACCAGACCCAGGACTGATGGCTTGTTTAAACAGGATAAACCCACCTTTATGTTCACCCATCAACTGCTAGAAACATCATTAAACAAGGTCAATAAACCTTGTATTGACAGAGTCACTATGTTACTAAGTAGAAAAACGATGCGGAAATATAAAATGTTGCACCTCATAATCAGATAAACTTCTGCAATCACTGACCGGTCAATAGTCAATACCACTCAACATGTCGAAGTGCCCATATTTCATCCGCATTAAGGGATACAGGAACTCTGTGTATAAATACATCATGTCTTTTCACATGTCCTCGCGTAAGAAAGGGTACTGAGCACTCAGTTATCAACTGGTTGACTTAAAGGGGGATTTCACCAAATTTACAAAATTTCAGCATAATTCAATGGTCTACAGTATAATAAACCTGAGAAACTAACTGTTCTTTGGGGGGTATTTTGCTTATGTATCAAAATAATCTATGTAAATGTTAAAATATTGTCTCAGGCAGCAACTTTTTCAGATAACTTTGTGAGGGAGTATTAAATGCTTCGGACCTCTAATTCCTATCGCCACGACCATGAACAATTCAGACTATTTTTCTGTCGACACAACAACAACAACTCTGAAAGACTGTTTACATACTAAATATACACCTAGCAGAAATTTTGAAAAATGGGTGAAATCCCCATTTACAGAACCTACATACATTAAAGAACATACATGCATACATACATACATACATACACACACAAAACTGATTAAAGCCTGTAGAAAGGCATCAAAAACTGGGGAAACAACCAAAGAGACACCCAACTTAAGAGTACACTACCTACAAATGGCCTACAAAGCCCTGAATCTTGGTCACAGAGAATAAGCTGAGCATGAACGATTTTCCTAAAGACATTCACACACGATTAATATTCACCACGCACTGCAGCCTGAGAAAGTCCATAATAATCAAACTGGCTAATGATGCAACTAAAGGCGCAAGGCACGGGGTGGTCTCCCCTCAAGTACTGAAGAAACTTTTACTTTTTTCCCCCACTACACGGCGATGTGCTGATCCGGTGGTTCTATTCTGCCACAGCAATAAAGCCAAACCTCAACAGTTGCGAAATTTGTAAAACTTTCATCTCCGCCACTGTATATCTATGTATCTGAGGCGATCAGGTGCAATCTTCACGACTGCTCAAATGTCAAAAGCTCTTACGCAAGCGATAGTAACAGTTAAATAAAATGTGCACCCAACAGGTGCATTAAGGATGCAGCAGAATGTCTCGAGAGACCATTAAACAGCGGCCAATAAAACTGCAAAAAAGAAATGAGCACAAATACAAAAGGTGAAAAACTGTGTTGAATCATCTATCTAATCTTAATAAGACGTCAACTGTGAGTAATCAAGAGATCTCCACATGAAGAAAGTCCATTAATATGGAGCAGCTCAGGCTACACAACCTTCACTGCCTCAGAAATCAATGCCCTGATGAGCTTGAGTGTTTATATCTATTAAGAGAAAAAAGTCCTTTTTACTTGCTGCGGTGTTGCTCCTAGAACAGTAGGGGCTACATTCATAATTATTCAGAACTCGGAGCTTGATACTGCAACTCATCCCAGCCAAATAAACTGATTTCTTAAAAGAAATAACAGCTTTAGGTGTTAGTGCCTTCATTTTCAAGTTATCAACTGTCACCACAGGTTAAACTAACAGGTTGCTTTGCTGTAAACTACTGACATCACCATTAATCTTTCATTCCTTAAAGATCTGGTTCAACAAAAAAACAGTATCATTTATATGATTCTTCCTTTACTCTAGAATAGCGAGGCTAGATGTGATCTTGGGTGGAATGTGGCTGCTAACAGACTTAAGTGTGAGAACAAAATAAGAATGAAATTTCTAATGCCTCTGGCATTGAAGGCAGAGCCCAAAGTAGGGGGCAATAATGTGCCTGTCAACACTATCAGATGAACAAGCCCATTCTAAGACCATGGGTGTAATGTTAGTTAAATATGTAATGTACCCCTGTTATCTTCAGGATTATATATATATATATATATATATATATATATATATATATATATATATATATATATATATATATATATATATATATATAAATCACTCCTCCAAGACTGAAGAAGCAAATGTTAGACACTAATAATTAACAATTATCTAAAACTTTTTAAGTGAATGAATGTCAGAATATAATAAAAATAAATGCTGCTGTCAAATAGTACCCAAACAAAGAATGTACATCGTTCACCCGATGTTGAATGTTTGTCATTCATGCTACAAAATCCACCTGCAATACTCGCAACGTCTTTACTACAATGTCATATTTTGGATGGAAATGTCACATTAGTTGTTAAATAGTTCTTTGTTGTAGCACTGCTGTTTAGATGTAGTTCACAACTCCACAATCATGACACCACCTGTCCCTTCCCAGTTTATTCCAGAGAGTCAGGATAGGCAGTTTAAGGGAAACCCCTCAAACCACTTATTCTCAATCTCAGTTACTGAGACTCCCTGCTTAGCACATTTTCGTGGACTGCTTGATCTAACACACCTGAATAACCTCACCAGCTGAATAATTAAGCCCTTTCTGAGCGGAGTCATGTGTGTTAGAGCAGAGAAAACACAAAAACGTGCAAGCCACAAGGACATCCACTGAGCTTGTACAAGGTGCATTAGACCCAAATCCCCACTGTGGCCTCTCTGGAGAAATCATTAACTTGCCAATCAAAATGTTCCAGCAACTTCACAGAAGTTAAAAACAACAAAGTTTTTTTCAGTTTGATCAGAGGTGATTAGAACGGTCGTCTCAGACTATGTGCAATTTTATAGAACAATCTGTATCCTAAAACAGCCAGCTGTGTAAAACAAGTAAACCGTTTCAGAGGGGCGGGAGAAAAAGGCCACACCAGATCAGCACCTTAACCGTAATGTTGAACCAACATTATCATTTTTGCTGAAAGATCTGTATTTAGATCTGTACGTAGATCAAGGATTTCACTGATGAAGTGAGAACAGAATGTATAAACATTCATAAAACAGAATGTGTCCTTATATTTTGTCTCTTAGACTGTGGTTTTCCATCCTCAGGATGAAGCATGTACATATCACTGTTGAAAATTTAAAGCTGAGAAGTACATTAGTGTATGATTTAAAAGCAAAAACTAGGCTACAAAAGGTGAGTGGTCTTCTGGCTTTCCCCATAAACTATATATAGGACCTGTTTCTAAACACCTCTGGGCAAAAACGATGTAAGTTTTGGACGCTCAGCCTCTGCAGTACAAAAGTATGACAAAATTACACCAAAATAAAATGGGTCCAGGTAAATTTGGCTATATTTCTCCAGGTAGGCCAACACAGCAGGTAAAGCAACCAGATAGCCTAGGGATTTGTGACAAAGCGCAGTCACTACTCATGCTAGGAGCTGCAATAGTGTCAGAAGATGAGACTGTGTTAGCAAATGTTTGAAAAGGCTACATTTCCAAACTCAACTGGGGAGCAACAGTACTAAATCAACTGAAACGTTAATCACATCAACTTTCTCGGTTTGTCTAAAAAATGCTGGGGTATGAGTTGCTATTTTGAACAAGCGTTTTGTGCATTACATCCATCAGTTACACACAGTATCTGGAATAGGTAGCAACACGCAATTCTGCTCTGAGCATTGCAGTAACGTCACCTTGAACAAGGAGAGGAAGATTCACATGCAACTCCGCAGTTTCTCTAAACAACTTATGAAGCTACAACCATCAGAAATGTGAATAATGTAAACTGTTCAACTAACTATGCAAGTGTACTAATCAATGCGCTAACTACTAAGAATGTAGTTTAAGCTTATTAGTTCATAATGAGCAAGTCTGAGTTGAAAAGCCGGGATTGTTTATATTATTATTACTCTGAAGACTTCAGTGAGGCAAACACTTACATTGCTAAAATGTTTCTCAGATGCCCTCGCTCCCAAGGCAATAAGAGAAATAGTCTGACATCGAAAAAAAAAAAAAAATCATTCACAGAACAAAAAAAGGAAAATAAGTGAATAAGTGGCAGATACTGCTCATTTCTATATTTAAAACTGTAGGTCTGACTCTGCAAGTCTCTCTTGTTAAAGGTACTCCATATTGACTGATTCTGATCAATGAGTGGTTATTTTCAAATCCAGATTTCCCTACATAGCCCTTATCTCATGCAAAATATGGAATGTACAACATCCCAATACTGTGGCGGCAGCAAAAAGAAGTCATCCAATAAGAGTAGGAGCATGCTGGATGGTGGGAGCATGAAAGGGTGATGTACTGTGGCTTTGCTGAGTGAACAGGAGAGAAGACAGGCTACCAAAAGTCTTCGTACAAGTGGTGCTACCAAGGAGCGAGCAAGATAAACACAGACTAGTAAGGAGAAGAGATGGACCAAACAATTCTTGGGCAGAAGGTAGCTGAAGACAAAGAGAATGGCTAGGAACATGTATGAACCACCCCATTCTTAGACAGGTCTGGGCTGCTGGCCACCAGATCAGATGAGAGGCTGAGTGAGGAAGTCTTGCTGGTCAGGGAGGACATGCTGCTGCTGCCCAAACCGCAGTCCTGCATCACAGAACTCGAACCATTTGAGTCCTCACTAAAAACAGAGAAAGAAATCAGAGTAGTGGTGGAAATAAGACAGTATATATCACTATAAAAGAATGACATCATAAATACTATATACATACATTTTATATATCATAAGCTTTACTGACAATATCATGAACAGTGAAAAACTTCAGAAATGCTAAAATCTCATAATGTCCAATGTGTCAAGAAAACTGTGATATTGCCCAGCCCTAACTCAGTGTATAAGAGATGCTGTGCATTCTTTGCTAAGAAGTCATGATCAGAAATGTTTTTTGCAGCACACAAGCCATCCAGTCAAAGACTGACCCCACCCCAGAGCCACTGTTTTTCAGAATTCATCCCCAATCTTTACTTAACACTCTGATAAGCTCATCATTAGCTAAGCGTTTTTAAAAGGCGAGAAGTAAATCTGTGAACCAATTTATCTCCAATGGCAAAAAAAATCCAAGAGCATCTATAACGTCTGTCTTACCTGAGGGCTAGCCGGTGCTCCTCTCGTTGCAAACTGCGCTCACTCTGGCCATTTTCACTGGCTGCAACCACCTTGTACTTCATGCCAGGGGCTACATGACTCTCCTGCAGAACAAACATCAAATAAGTAACAGCCCGGCTCCTCCGACACTGACCAAACAAAGAGGTTGGTGTGAATAGTCTGTTCCAGACGGTCTCTCTTGATTCACACTGGTTCGCTTTGGTGTTTCAGCTCTTTTTCAGACACCGAGGTTCACTCATATTTAACTGATTAGTAATGAAGGACATACAGTTATTAACACAAACTGCAGAAAGCTACAAAATCTTTGTAAAAAAGTCTCTTCCACAGACATAATTCAGGGTACTGTCACTGTATGTTTGCTCACCCTGGCCATCTCTCGCGTCCTCATACCAATCTCTCTCTCCACCTGGTGTAGCTCCAGGCTCAGCTGCTCGCTGGACACACCAGTTGTTGACCACTCCACTGGAGTGGGCTGACCAGCCGCCAAGCCAGACTCCCTCTGCAAAGCCACCACATTGCTGGAGCTCTGTGACAGATTTAAGGTGTTAAAACCAGCACATTAGTGTAGATTATGCAAAAGACTATTTTTTTCCTTTTTTAAATTTTTAGCAGAGTTTGCTAGCCACTATACCTTCAGTTACCCACGCAGAAAGAAAAGAAGAAAATCAAACTCCAGTCAGTAGTGCCAGCGCATTCTTCATTTCATGACCTTAGAATTCACATCTTATTTCCCTTCTTTTTTCCAGACAAATATCGCTATGATCAGCATACTGGGTACCTAATAGAACTGAACATGAAAAACAGGTAAAAACAAAAAGAACAGGAGCTTACCTCCATGGACCGGGTCTGCTGGGTGATCTGTTGGTTGACCTGTTGAAGCTCCATCCTCAGCTGTTCCCTGTCTGGACCAGCAGGGGGCATACTGAATGACAGAAACAAGATTAAATCAGTTATTCACTTACATGTACTAACAAAGTCTTTAAAGAAAACGCAGCACGCTTGATTAATTTTAGGCTCCTGTCACAATGTACGACACTTGCTACGACTTCAACAGATCCCATCCCAGAACAACTGGCTTTCAAAATTTAGTCTTAATCCTAACAACACTGCCTGCTCTAACATTAATGTGTACCTGAACACAATATGGCATTTAAAAAAAAAAAAGATGCAAGTAAACCTAAAAGACAATTTATCTCCAACAGTAATGCAACGAGGGAACATTTTAAGCTCCAGTCACGGTAAATGGCATTTACTAAAATTTCACCCTTATATTTGGGTGACATTCTCAAGTATTGTAGAACATCAGCAAACTGAAGTGACCTTTCCTACCATTTTACTGCTACACATTAACCTAGCACTTTGAAGCAATGCTTGAAAGTATTGTGAAAGTGGCTGTATAATGCAAAAGGAGCCTCACCGCTCACTGAAGTGTCCCTGAGATGGCATGGTCTGATGTTGCACATAAGATGCTTCACTCCATCCTCCGTGATTTCCATAGCTATAATCGACTGCACAAATCAAAAGCATACCACTGAAACCATAATCATAATGAAGCACTCCAACAAGCAACATATTCCAATATTGAGTGACACTACAGATTTTATTCATGCTAAGCGATGACTTTCATGCCATGTTAATCACATGTTCAGCTGAACAACCCTTTAATTTCAGGTCTTTAAGGCTGTGAGACTGCATGTTACCTGCAGTGGCAGCGTGTTTGGCTTGGGGGCCTGGCACCAGGCCAGCAGGCTGATAGCCTGATTTGGATGTGCGCGAGATGGCTCCGAAGCGCGAAACAGTGGGCAGTGGACCAAACGGAATGATGGGGTCATCGTCTTTGACCTCCGGTGCTCTGCGCTGCAGCTCTAGCGCAGGATCTCTCAGGCCCTTGTCTACATTCTGCTGAGGGGAAGAGCAGCCTCCATTATAAAGATACACCCTCTACATACACATTACTCACTTATTTGTTACATAGGAACCACAAATATAGATAAGATAAAGCTTGCATTTTGGTGGTTTAAAAAAATATATATTACACACAGTTATATCCTGTTATTATTCATAAAAGACTTTTATTCAAACAAAAATGAGAATACACCTCAATCAGCTTCTCTTAATTGAATATGGCCTTTGGTCTGTCAACACGGTAGAGAGAACAAACTGAACAAGGCAAACAACTATAACCTTTTGCCTTGCGCTCCCATTCAAAATGATAACAGACCTAGCTCTGTATCAAAGCGAAGCCCTTAAAATTTAAAACAAACTTAAAGCTTCATAATTTTAATATTTTTGCAGAGTCACAACTCACCATTTCCATGTAGCCTGTGACCAGGGCCTCTTTGGATTTCATATCCTTGGCACCAATGTAGGGGACAAAAGTGTCACATGACCATGGAGAGTATTGAGCAGTGCAGCCTGTCTCCCTGAAGCTCTCAAACGCAGGAGAATTCTCTTCCATGTACTGTTAACCATTCACAGCAACACAGTTTAGTGCATCTAGCCACTTCCACCACACAACATACAAAAGCTTTGTTCACATGAAGAAGATAAAGCTGGGGTGCTAAACTCTGCCCCTGAATATCCACTGCATTTAATACTATCACTGGTTTAATACACCCAACAAGAATAATTTCAGCTAACTGCTGAGCAACTGTGAAAACATACACGTCTTTTTACAAGCTCCTTGAATGATGTGCCAGTTGCTTTGTGCTTACATGGTTTTGTCCCCTGACCTCTTGGGTGTAGCTGGGATCATAAGAATGGGCCAGGTTTGGAGAGGAGGCGAAGGGAGGAGGGGAGACCACTTTACGCTCCTCCAGCTGGGCCATGATCTCCTTTCTTCGCCGGTGCAGGTAATCCAGGGTGGGCTGCGGCCGAGAGTAAGCACTCTGAATACAGACACACCCAGTGTTAGTTGCTTAGCAAAGAAAAGAGACAGCTGGAGACAATGATTACTTTTGTTTAGATCCATTTAAGAGGTCTAGGACATAAAAAGCAGCTTTGACTGCACTATTAAACCTACACATTTACTGTAATCACAATTTGACACAATGTGTGAGTAGTGTCACATTTAAAAACTGCTATCAAAAACTTAATTACAAAATTACAAACACTTAAATTTAATTACAATTATTCAACATTTCACATACAGTGCTGCACTAAATACAATTAAATAGAACTAATTATGCTTTCTTTTTAACGAAAAATACAGCTGGTCAGTGTTTTTCAAGAACGGATGAGATCCATGATATGCTCAGAAAGGCATACTGTGCATCACAATTATCAAATTATTATTATAACACAAAGTCATCATCATATTAACCACCCTAACTAGCAAAAAATCATGCTTGGCTGCTCGTGGACAGTCTAGAGTCAATGAATGAAGTCTTACCCTGCCGTAAGGCCTGTTCTGACTGGGGTGGCTGTACATCTCAGGCCCATATCTGTCCCGCGATGAGTCTGGGAGGTAGGAAGAAGCTCCTGCTGTTTGGGGCTGCGGTGGTGGGGGCGCATCTATAGGCACTGGACTTCTGCGTCCCAGCTCATCCCGTGCATAGGACTGGTGTGGAGGGTGGCCTCCATAAGCTTGGTGGCGACGGCCATCATGGTGTGGGGGGTAGCCATATCGAGGGTCAGAAGGTGGGGTGGGGTACTGGCGTTCTGGAGCATAGGAAAGAGAATAGGTGTCTGGATAGGGTGACAAGCCTGGGTCGGTGGGGGGGCCGGGGTTGCGCACATAGCGAGGCATGTGTTGGTAAGTATAGGTGTTCCCTGTAGAAACAGGAAAGTTTATTTATGTCACTAAATGAGACAAAAAACAAATTTGTAAAAGAGAAAGAGAGAACAGTGTGTAAAAAAATGTAAAATGATTATACAAATGTTAATGGTGGTTTACCTGTAGGATACTGAGAGGATTCGTACTGGGAGGCAGATGGTGGTGGTCTTGATTCAGAGTAATAACCCTCAGGCTGATGTGGAGGGTACTGAGGTATCTGGGGAATTCTGGAGACAGCAGACATATGTTTATGACTAGCCAGACTCTCTCTCGTCACTCTAGGGTGAGGAGGCGCAGGCATCACCACCTTTGGCATGGGGTCCAGTCTGTCCAAAACAAACAAATGCATCAATCAGTCAATCATCAAAAACTCCCCTTGTTAACATAAAAAAAAATAAAAAATACTATGCCCTCCATAAGTATTCAGCTGGTAAAATCATAATTCTCATTAAACAAATCAGAATGCATTAAATTCATATCCACACCCATATAAATGTATATGCATTACTTTGTAACTGCAGGCACCATGTATTAACTCAATAGACCATTTATTTAAAATAAAATTTTAAAAAAGCACTCACGAGTCTGGAGGTGATCCTGGGGCACTGAGGCTACCCATGTCTGGCTTTCCCAGCTTGCATGCTGGATCGTACAATGGATCCGAACCCCTGGAGACCAGGAGCCCCGTTCCAGGGCCAACTGGTATTATGCCATTGGTGACAATGCCAGGTTTGTGGGCCAGCCCCTCCACAACCAAGCCCTCGTCAGAAAGAAGGCTTGGGGGGCAAACAACATCCATTTCATTCAGCTGTGTCAGCGACTGACTCAGGGGTTTCCTAGTGGGAAGTCGCTTGTTCATCTTGCGATACCTAGTATTAGATGAGGACATCAGAAACATGCCATTCTGACTGAAGCTGTATATAAAGAAGTACTGAGCAAAGAAGAGTAACTCACTTCTCCAGCTCTTCTTGGGAATGGGCAAAGGTGCAACTGGCTCCCCTGGGACAGCCTCCTTTCTGTTTCATGTCTCGACACATGAAGGTCTTATACTTGCTGTGCTGAGGTGCCTGGCACAGAAGAGGCATGGGTTTAGACCAGAGGGCTCACAGAGAACCACAGCCCTTCAGAGCTGAAGTACAACCATAATGTAAAACCTAGATATATTGTATGAATATTAGAGGTAGGTGGGCTACATTAAGGTTAAAAATAACCTCTTCAGAGCAGTAGATCTAAGAGCATAGCCAGGCAACATTGTACAAATTTCTGTGTTTTTAATCTGGATTAATCTAGGCTGTGTGGCTCAAAGAGCATGGCTGAAGTACGGACCTGCTGTGGGTCTCCTCCCTTCTTGCTGTAGTTCTGGATGAAGTCCACTAGGCCATGCACCACTGTCTTTACAGCCACTAGTCCTTTGTCAAGCTGCTCCCATGTTGGTGCAGGGGCATCTGGTATGGAAAATGGTGCACAGATTAAATACAAATCACCAACTCTTTTGTTTTTATGAAACAGAAAATCATAAAAAAAAGACAATTTATACCACGGGAGCAGCACAGGAATCAACCCTTTTTGTTTCTTAATAACCTTTGGTTATCACGTTGGCCTGTTTTTCCGCACTCACAATCTCCTGTCTTTCTAGCATGCCATATCACTCCTGTTTGGTATTTTACGGTGATGAACTTTTGAACCACATTTGTTGCGAAAGCCATTTTAAACAAGATGCGACGACTTCATCATAAATGCCCGAGAGCATTTTTACTTCTGAATCATGTATACTCCCACAATATTTTTCTCACGTGAAAACTCTGCTATAACATAAGCACAGTCACAGAAATGTTACAATTTGCCAGCAATGTTGTCACACTGTTGACACACAAAGGAGGAGTTTTTCAACTTCTCTAGAGTGATATTCCACTAGAAGCACAGAAAATACACTTCTGTGATGTAAAGCCTGACCTTGAAAACAAAATAAGCCAATACATTACTCAACTTTCCCAGTCAGCTGCATCAGCCTTACTGGGATTTCAATACCAGCTTGTGTTCACACTTAACCCCTTCTTATTTAATTACCATTAACTTTTCTTGTAAAAGTGCAAGTGGGAAATGGCCTGTTGAGACAATAAAGCAAAGACACCAGATGAAATGCCACATCTAGAATCCTAGACCTTTTGTAAGCTCTTTTGGGCATGAGCTAATGATGCAGCCCCACTCTGTTGCCCAAGAAGCAAACAAACTGCCAATTATCTAGTTATTATTCTCCCATGAAATCTACAAAAAGTTCAGAAACAGGCATTCAGGACACTGCCATCGTTTTGTGTGCAATCCAGCATGCTAGAAAGCACAGGCAAAACATTGTTCAAAATGACTATGACAATGAGGAGCATGTATGTGGACACAGACCTGGGCTGGGGTCGATGTCAGCCAGCAGCTCTAGATGTGGTCGGAGGCGGTTGAGGTTGGCTGGGTCTCCTGTTCTCTGCAGAGCAATGGTGAGCTCCTGCACACTCTGAGCGAAGGATGCTGGGGTCTGCAACTGAGAGGAAAAATAAGGAAGTAAACAAACAACCTCAGGATTACCAAAGCAATAGTGTGTGCTATTAAAAATGTTTTGCCTCACAGAGAATGACTGATATACTACTTAAAATATTAACACAGGATAAGACTGACAAAAAATAACATTTTAAAAAAGGTACACACAATCATTCGCTGGTTCCAGGGTTACAGCAGTGCAAAGTTTAAAGATTTATCTGCTGTAACACATTTAATACTGGTATTGGCCAGTATAGTGTCAAAACTCTGACTGACTAAAAAAAAATAAATAAATAAATAAAAATCTCTGGCACCATCTAGTGAAAGGCTAACACTGGTGGTATTTATACAGCTAAGAACTAGAGAGAGAGAACCTCATATAGCACAGAGACCAAATACATAGGCAGGGAGAGAGGCAATGTTACGAGGACAAGGAAAGTCAATTTTTCCCTAGGAGGTCAAATAACTATCAACTCTTTGAGGTTAAGCAGCAAGATCAGACATAACTCAAGATCACTGATGGCTCTTTTTGTGGATTTAGTTACATCAAATCAGTTCCTTTTTCTACTTCATACAGCACTGATCAAATCACACCTTGTCTATGATGGACTGCATGTGGGACTTGTGGGACTGGTCTCCATACAACAAGGAGGACCACTGGTCAGGGGCGATGCGCAGCCCTCCCTCCATGGCAATCTGGACAATCTGAGAGTCATGCTCCCTCCGCAAAGCCTCATATGTGCGGAACTCCTCCTTCAGCTGCATCAGGGACGAGTCCTCATCTCGCTTTGTCACCTGAAGAAAACAACAGAAAAACAACTGTTTCCAAAAATGCTCTAAAAATCACACAGCAAAAAAATAACGACACGTTTATCAGTTTTGAGGTAATTGTAGAGTTTATCCGTTTGGATTAATCCTCTGTATTAATTTTACATGCTCCTTAGTTTTGTGTCCCTTCATAAACCAAACCAAAAGATAGTAAATGTGAATCATGACCAGCAGTATTTCACTGAAAAAGGAGATTTACCTTAAAACAGGAGGCCCTGTACAGCAGCTGCACTACATGTCCTATACTGGTTTTAGAGGCCTGAGGGAAGCGGGGCTCCAGCCTCTGAACCACAAACAGAACCAGAACCTTGCGGGAAAGGGCAGAGCCATCCTCCAATGCTAGCAGGACAAGCTTCAAAGCTTCTTCCTGCATGGCTGTGAGGGGGAAAAAAATAAAAAAAATTTACTTACTTGTATATTGCCCTTCACAACTGATACTGACAAGGCTGCTTGCCACAGTTCTGAGTGAAGGATCTCCTGTGGCAACCAAACTTAACAGAGGAAAGGGAAAAAGAAACACCAAGGCATTTAGTGTTCTATCAATATCTCTGAATTGTTGGAAAACAGTCGATTATTTAATGATCTGATGAGACAGTTTTGCAAATTTTCAATTCATCAACTTTATTCTACCTTATTTTTTATTTAAATAAATTTATATAAATTTATAATCAAGCCTTGCACTGCCTTGCTGATAGCATCAGTATTACCAATCCCCGCTTCTCACTGGGCTTAAACACAGCCCAACAAGGCCAACATTTAAGAATTTGACCACAAAAATCTTCTTTAGATGTACATGTAGGAAAAAAATGTTTATGATTTTTCAATCTTTTAAGGACATTTTGCACTGGACATCCAGGTCACAGCATGATTTCTATCGTGGTTGGTGTTTTAGCCCAAGGTTAAACTGAAGATGAGTGTTAATGAATGATGGGTTAAAGGTCTGGGTTGAGAAACAGTGATCAATTAATTTAATATTTAACATCAGCAAAACGCTACCAGGGCCGAGGAACTGGCAGCCTCGAGCGCGAACGGCGGCCCACAGATTTGAAGAGAGCTGCTGGGCGTTTTGGTGCTGCAGGATGAGCTCAGTGACCGTCCGTTCGCCCAGAGAGCGAGCAGCCCGCATGGCCCGGATACGACCCTCCTCCTCCACCAGCTGGCAGTGCACTAGGGTCACCAGCTTCCTCTGCATGGGCCGGCTGAGAAGGCTCTGGGTCACACTGCCCAGCCCCACACCTGAGAGATGAGAAACAGAGCTTTGAAGGACAGAAGCATGAATAAGGTAATACTGTTAGAGTTTTCTGTAGGCTTTGTTTGTAGACTTCTTGTGCCTTTGTTTAAAATCACTGACTGAAACAGGAACATATTTTTTAAATCACTCTTTTAATTGATTTAAGATTAACCAATTATGGATAATTAGTTAATTAATGATCATTAGTTGTAGCCCTAGGGCCTTTTTTATAAAGCAAACATGTGCACAGATGAAAACAAGCTTCTAACCTATTGTATAAACAGCAGCACCAATGTGCTACACGCATACTGGGTGCGATTCTTCAGCACTGTCTTTTTACAAATTAACTGATGCTGCAAACTTTAGAACAAATTTAGAGTGAAATTCTGGTATGTTCTAGAAAGGAAGCCCCGAGTTATATGATGTTATCTAAACATTATTCAGGAAGGTTTTAGGACCTCTGGTGTTGCTGAGGGGTTTGAGGTAGAGAGCCAGCTCCTCCACACAGGTGCGTGCTTCGTCATAATGCTTGGTGTCCTCTGCTCCTCTCACTAAGGTGACAGGCTGGGACTTGGGAACCTGCAGAAAGAAATATCACATTATTTACCACAGGATATTTGACATGCTGTACCCTCAGTAGCTTTTTTGCATAGCACACATAGTGAGAGCATGCGTCAGCATTTTGATGCACTTAAATGAGCTGTGGTTCATGTTTATCATATTGCATGGTATTTAAGGGTTAAATGCTTTGGGGAAATAAGGGGTGTGCCAGCATTAAGACAATTTATATATATGGAAAAAAGCACTTGTTTGTTTTTGCTAATAATATTAAATAGTGGGTGAGGCATGGAAAATATCTTCCATGGTAACATTATTATAGTTGCACAATATCATATTGGCAACAGAGACTACCGATACTATGAAGCAATTTCTGATGTGCATGTGTGTCAGTAGATGTACTTTAACTGAGAAGCAACACATTGGTAGTATGGGATTACAAGTGGGAGCACAAATATACACATTAAAATCTGTAATGCCAGTATTTCAAGGAGTAGAGGGTGATATACCGGTTAGAAAAGTCTTCCTAAGGTATTAGTTTAATCTGTATGGCACAAATAAGCCAGATAATGCAACACATACAGTGTAAAAATGTGAAGGGGAGCCCCTTCAGTTCATTACCCCAAAACAGAAAAATACACATTCGGGGGTAATGATGTATACAGTACATTTTATTTGTGACAACACTACTCTTAAGGAAATTTAATGTTTAAAAAGTGGAACTGTATGAATATCAATTTATAGGCACCTACTGAGTTATTAGGTTGGAATGATGTTTGAGGATGAGGTACCGGTGTCGTAAGAGGGGAAAAAGTGGTATGGGTGCATCCCTACATGTTATACAAAATATGCAAAGCTTTCAGTGGTACTGCAAGTTCTATTATAGCCAGAAAATGAAAATACATTCATATTAATAACAATGTTGACTCAAACTTTGGCCATAGCACCCCGCCCTTTCTAGCCACTTCCACAACAGTGAGTGAGTCATTCAGGGAAGTATGTGCACTTGGTGCATATGAACATCTAATATTACCTTGGTGACTCAGCAAGTGTAAAGGAGAGCACAGAAAGAGAGCTTTCGCCCTTTCTTTATCTTTCTCTCAAACACACACACACAAACACACACACACAAACACACACCTCCTTCAATCCAACCAGACTGGAACAACCACAAGCTCTTTTTTTAGAAATCTGATGCCCAGAAAGCTACTAAGTACAACTCTACCTTAAGCTCCCCTAACCCACCCCCTCTTTCTCCATGTTCCTCTTTTGTTGTAGTGCTGCACTTCCAACGTCGCTCTGCTTCAGGAAGAGCACATGTACACCGCAAGTCTGCCTGTGATGAACAAAGGCCACCAAAACAAGATGTGTTGACTGCAAGCTATGAAAAAGCAACCGAAACTTCACATTCTGATCGTTATCTCTTGGATGATTAAAACAAAACACAATTGCTTCACTTAGAGCTGCAGCGCTTGTTTCCCTGTGCCAGTCCTTTTAGGGAAACATAAGGGCAAAGAAGCACCAGCACAAAAAAGATAAACATCCACATACAGAGATTCACACAAGGAAATGAAGCAGACAAAAATAAAGATGATGTAAATTAGGTTGTACAGCCGTTGACTTTGTCGAGTTTATTTTCTTTTGCACCAGCAATCAAGGTCTAAGCTGAAACATGTCTGTTTGGAAAAGCTGTGCTTAAAAGCTTGGTCATTTTTCATTTCAGTTTTTATTTTTATAAACTGAGCGTTATCTCACACCCAAAAAAGGAAGGTATGGAGCCCGTTTTTCCCCCTTGTTTGAAATCTACAGGATCTAACGGTGTATGAGCAACACTTCTGCCATACAGGCAACCCAAAGAGAGAAAAAGGTCAGGAATAATGTGGGTTTGTTTCTATCATCCATTCAAACAGTGGTTGAATGAAGCCGAGCAGTGACTCACCTGACCACAGACCAGCTGCAGCAGGGCAGTGTTGACGGGCAGCAGCTCGATGTCTGTGCTGATGGTGGTCTGATCGAAGGGGCAGGCCTTGCGGTGCAGCTTGTTCAGACACATCTTGCAAACGGTGTGGCCGCAGCCCAAGCTGATAGGCTTGCGCACATTCTCCTCGAACGTTTGCGTGCAGATGGGACACAAAAGAAACTCCGTCCATTGTGGCGCTTGTACGGGCATCGTAACAAAAGTGGGTCTCTAATGCACTGGTCGCCCAGGTCTTCTTCTGGATCTGCACCTTCTGTAGTTGGGTGACGATACGTTTTGTTAAAAACAAGGAGGCCAAACGTCCTATAGATTCCACGGGAATCAAAAACACTCTCCTGAACGTCCAGATTTTCAAATATCTTCAGGCATTGTGAACTTTTAGCACATGGTGCTGAATACATAACCTGCAAGAAATAGAAGACAAGGGAAATTCAGCCTCTTAATATATCACGTGACTAACGCTGATTTCAACAGACACCACTGGCAATGACTGTATGACAGCTAATCTTAAAGGAATTCAACTGTTTTTTTAAACTAGTGCATAATTAAATGGTTAAGATGTAAACAAAACCAGTCAGAGTTTTGATGTGAAATGACTAAAAACTCAGAGGACACTCAGTGTAGGCTGACTGGTGGTTTTGGATAGTAAATAAAATGGCTATATTTGTGTTGCAATCTCCGGTTTCTATTACGACCACTGTAAAGAAATCAATCAGAGTTGAAAAGTTTCTCTACAGTAAACGATTTCATATCAAACTACTCTGAATTTCTGTCTTCTCATCTGAACAACTGAACTAGGCAGAAATTTAGAAAAAACTGTCATAAGTTAAAACAACAGTTTCTGGCCAACTCATTTTAGCTGGAAATACTACCAAGCAGGGATGCATGATGATATAAGCATCATAACAATGCTGGCAGATCATTTTTATATCTGACTGATATTTTTAAAGAAATATTTGATGATACATTTATTGTTCTAGAGAGAATAGCAAAACATTTGGACAATGCTGGGCTACTACGCAAAAATGCCCACACTGTATTCATTTTGCTGCATTTGTTTCCTATATAGAAATACATGTCATATTTCTGTAACGCTAATCCAGGTGGCTCAATCAGAGCATGTGAGCAGAACAGGGTAGCAGAAATTTCCACCTCTCATTCAACGTGTTTTCCATTTCATCTCTGCACTAGGTTTTCTATGTCCCCCTTTTGCTCCTCACCACAACATCAGACCCAGAGGATTTTGTGAGACTATGGTGGGTGGACCTCACTTGGACCCTTCTAGGGGGGTCCGGGGGCATGGTCCCCCAGAAAAAAACCTTATATTTGAATATTTTAAAGCTAAATGCATCTGGCGAGAACAAAATTAAGAGGTCAGATCTATGAAGAACACTGTGCTCTAAACAATTAGCTTTAGTGATTTAATCAAACACACTGGTTGTATGAGTATGAACGGTGACGACACAGCAAAAAGGTCACACACAAAGCACGGTAGGGAGGTTTAACAGTGCACATCGTCAAAACAAAAACAAAAATGACTAGAGCATACATTTCAGCCCTCAAATGGAGCTGAAACGGTTACCTGCGTTCAACTGATTTTTTTAATATATTGAATAAAGAATATATAGAATAATATACATCATTTAATAGTTTAATTTAAGCCAAAACAGACCTATAAAATCAAGGGCACAAACATTAAGCTTAATACAGCAGCAGTAACTTCAACTTGAATAGTTACTGCTACTTCAGCTCAATTAGTAAACATTACAAATAGCCTAACATTACATGAAGCGCCAAGCTGCTCTTCGGAGGCTGAAAATAGTTAAGTTTTCAGAGCATGTGCATGACAATCTTGTATGTCTGCCACTGCGCCGGTGTAGCAACTGTCTGTCCTACCCATCCAGTGGTCCTACTGAGCATGCGCATATCAATAGAATCGCACAGAAAGTGTTTTAAATGTTTTGTGTTTTTAATGTTAATCCAGTACAGACTCAGCTTAATATTACTGCTTACGATTTAAACGAGGCTGAAGTCAGCTTCTTATTTGCCAGCTTCTTCGAATTTCCAAAATCTCCCAATTCACCTTAATTGGTGCCTAAATGCCCCACTGGCCTGAGGCGCCAAAACGTATCTGCTGCACCATATGAGGTGGAACAGGAAAATTGTGAAATAAGCTCATGAATAAGAAGGTGACTTGAGCCTCATGTGATTTAGGCTATTAAATATACCACCTACAGTAAAAATCCACAAATTCAACAGCAAACTGCTTTAAAGCAGCGAAATGAGTCAGTTGCGAGAGGAAGACAATGCCACAAAATCCAATGTTGTTTATGTTGTTATGAGAAGTGTGAAGACATTTTCACTTCATTATGAAACTGTGGAAAAAATATGGCAGGCCACCACAGTCTAATTAATGGGAAATACAGTCAGGTTTATGTATTTTAGAAAATATAAAATGCTGAATAAAGAATACACAAAATAATATGCAGAACAATTTCATTTAATTTTAGTCAAAGGTAGACCTATAAAATCAAGGTCACAAACATTAAGCTTAAACCAGCAGCAGTAACTTCAGCTTGATTAGTTAACATTACAAATAGCCTAATGTTACACAAAACACCAACCTGCTCTTCAGAGGCTGAAAATAGTTGTCAGAGCATGTGCATGACAATCTTGTACGTTTGCCTCTATGTAACAAACTATTATGAAATTTATTATATATCTTGAGTATTGGACACAATACTATGTACCTCAGTTCGTGAATCAATTCATGGCCGTTATTAATAAAAAGGCTTGTGGAATGGAGCGGTATTGAAGTGATGGTGGAGCAAGAGAAAACAAGAACGCTTTGACTTTCTAAAAAGCCACTCAATTTCTTCATTTTACACACGTTTATGTAACAGCATCAGAATATGTACTCACTAACTGTGTTCAGTGAGCCTCCTATGAGCACTAAAAAATTAACACAGCATACCTAGGTGTGGGTGATGTGGCAAAAATACTGTATTACAAAACTTTTTATGATTACATTCTCAATACATGATATGCATTCCAATATTTTGTTTTTCTGAGGCTTGATAAATTTAAGCACACAGAAAAAAGACCCAGTCGGGCCACAAAATGAATACCAAAACCTGTGAATATAATGATTTTATTCAAAATTTCATATGCTGCGCTGAAACCAGTTAAACAGCACTAATTATTCTCTCTTTGTAATAAAACATACATTTGGACAGCGCTCTAAGCTCTGGTGCCATCCACAGCATTCCAAGAAAGACATATTTTTTATGTAAATGTGACAAATTTTAAAATCACAATAACGATATGGTCACATTGCCTACCTCTACACTTCTCTTTCTTTTAGACAGCTAGTTAGTTTTCTTACTAGGCCTCTTGAAAGAATCTTCACTGTAAGACAGTGCAGGTTTTACCTTACTTCTACAAAAGCAAGGCAAACAAAAGCAGGGGATTTCGAATGACTAATAAGACTGTGCAAGTTAGCATTGTATGACCTGTTACACCAGAAAATACTGAGACAAGCAAAAAACTATTTCAGGACGCACACACTGAATCATCAGACGAACATAAGAAGCTTGAGCTATGATACATTAGGCACAATACAACAAAATCAGGATCCACAGAACAGAACTGCAAATGAAAAAGTCAAGTGTTTCTGTAAATGTTTCTGTAAACATTTTCTATATAGTTTATCTTCAAGCAAACACTTTATGCACAAATTCTGGAAAGGAAAACCAAAAAAGGAGCAGCTGGGTCTGCAAAGTAGTATTACTGAGCAAAATGAAAGCAAACTACCAACAACAAAACTGCGATAGGTTGTCAATTACCTTCACAGAAGATCCTTCAGCACAATCCAACTTGCCAATCTGTACTGTGTGCGACCGTCAGAATCCCCACAGGCTGTTTTATAGCACGCCTCCAGAATGAAACAGTTTGCTTAAGGCATATCTTTAGCCTAACATTTATCTTCTCTAAATGGTCGCACGCATACATTCAAATGAACTCTGGTTATCTCTTTATGCTTCTGCGACTGCTGCTTACCAGAGAAATGAGGTACTTCCTCGTGTGGGACGTCGCAACAAATTGACACACCTCCTACTCACCTGACTTTAGACTGGGTTTTGCAGTAAAGGACTTCCCTATGACTAAAATTAGGTCCTCTGGGAGACATGAGAGGCCTTCCTACAGTTTTTAGGGGGCTGGACCTTTGGGAAGTCTACCATAGACAAAAATAACACCAGGAAACTGTCTAGGTCTGGTACACACAAACAGAACCAGGCTAATGTGTAAGCAGGGGTATTTACCATAACCTCTAACGATGCAAGAGCGCACGCTCAGAAAATGCGGTGTAATAGTAACGGGGAAATATGACCGAAAGCAATACTGAGAGGAAATGGAAACTGGGGGGCAACAAAAAACCCCAGGTTGCATTTCAAATCCAAGCCAAAATAAAGCTGTTATGAGTAAGCGCTCGCCACTGGGAATGATGTGATTCACACCCATGTCACTCATCTACGTGCTTCAAACAGCAGACATTTTCAGTAACCTCTGCAGGGATGGAAAGCATTATTGTGAACATCAGTCTAAAAAAATTCTCATGTTCACTTCAAGACAAAAGGTGGGGAAAACACCTAGCAGAACATTTAGAAGTTTCAGATTCCTTGAAGGTAAGACATTACAGGCAAAACTGAATTATCTTTTTTTCAGATTTTTGCATAAATTGCACTCGTCTTCCCCTAAACTTATTAAAAACGTTAAATAGTCTACAGTAATATATTTATTTCAGCTTGCTTTGTCAGTTTGTGTCCACTCATGTCACACCATTTTCCCCAAAGTTAGCAGTGAAGGCTAAGCTCTGCCACATGTCATGTTACACCACTGAAAAGCTTGTTTCCTGTACAATCTAACTAGAATAAACAGATGTCCATTTCCTTTGTGCTAACATTCTCACAAAGGGTGCATGTTTTTTGAGATTTTGAGGCCCACTTTTAAGATTTTCTTCTCTACATTCAGGACCACAAATCCCAGTTTCTAGAATACCTGCATTCAGAAAATTTTACATGCTCATTCCTACCCATATCCTAAAGAATGTCATCCTAATGTATTGCTCAAGGCTGGATTTATGCTAGTCTGTATGCTACAAAATGACCTGAAAAACATTTCATAATAACAGTTCATAGTGTTTTCTGGATTAAATGAGAAAATAATGAAATTTAAATGTGTTCTTTAAAATCCTTTCTCTGGAGAGGGTCTTCACAATTAATTCTATCATCCAAAAGCTAGACTTTTGCTAAATACGCAATTAATTGTAGATTTAAACACACAGCAATTCATTTGAGTATCAACATGAACTTTTTGGCAAAATGCGCAAAAAAATATGTAAGAATATCATTAAGAAATTGGCAAAGAATTACTCTTCTAAAAAAGACCCTATTCATTTGTAGTGTCTCACCTTAAGGAAAAAAAAAACCTGGAAGCCCTGAAAGCCTATTCAATGTCAGTAGCTAATAAACCAATAGGGCTGTTAAGGAATTAAGAGATCTGGCAAAACATCTTGATACCACAAGCGAACTGGGAGGGGAACTATTTTGTTTATGCCAGAGGCAAACCAAACTCATCAGGCAACAATCTGGTGGTACCAGGCATCACCACAGAGGCACGCTGTTAGAACTGGCAAACTCCTCTTTTGGTGCACCGCTAGCACTTGGCGTGACTTTTGCTTGCATGGAAGCAGCACCAGTTTGCACGAGACCATCCTGATCACGCTATTTTCATCCATCTTCACTTATTTTCTCTGTTGCCACAAGCATAATTTGAACAGAACTTGTCTGTAAAAGACCATTTTAGCAACATTTGCCTAAAACAAAATCTTCCTGCCTCAACAAGCGTTCTTTCTTGTGCACGCAGAGGCTAAAAATAAGCAACTCGCCAAATTTCATACACATCATTCAGAACATACTTCACGCCATCCTGCCATCTCAGTGTTTGTTATGTATAATCCTTCATGTTTTCATTGCCCAAAGAAACACATTTAGTGGATGAACGTATAAATAAATACGCCCATCTACTGATTGTGCTATTAGAGCCTACTTCCCCTTGTCTGATTGAGGTCCTTGAACTAGACAAAAATTCTAATGAGCCTAAACAGATCCATATTTTAAAATCTTTAGGTTACCAAATGTACAAAAACAGCAACAAGGAAACTCTGAGCTACATCAATTTCTTACAGCTATGACACAGCGGTTATCGTCAAATTATTAAGAAAAAATGGCAGCAGGACAAGACTGCTGTTAGGACAGTACTGCTCAGGTCTCTACTTGCACGGCTCGCTATGCAAAACAGACATAAGCTAACGCTGTTGGCTCTTCTTGTTCATCTCCTAAATGGGAAAAGACAGGAACAAAGCCAGTGTTGCTGCAGGTCTATGACTAAAGAGGAATTTTACCATTTTTTTTTTTTATTATTTCTGCATAACTTAATCATAATTTGAGTCGTCTGAAGTGCAACACTCTGTTCTAGAGAAACTTAAGAGTCAGAATTGATCACCAGTTGTGATGTTAGGAACCAGTCCAAACCAATTAATGTCTCTAGGAGCTACCTTATACAAAGTTACTACACAAAATGTTTACAAATGTGCATTAACAAATTCCATCATCAACAACATATATGAAATACTCAGGTTCACTGGTTATTTTGGACAGCAAATAAAAGGCCGTACGTGTTCTAGATGTTGCAACTCTGAGGTCCTATCACCACCACTGTATCCAATAATAATTTTAAAAATCTGACATAGTTCAACCATGCGCCATTTCACGGCATCATACTCTGAATGACTTTGTTTACATCTTAATAATTAAACCATGCAAAAATGTTGAGCAATCTGTGAAATTTTACCCTTTAAACTCAAACAGGCCAGCACTTGCCCATTCTTTCCTATTAAACAGAATTAAAATATTGAGGTAGCAGCTTTATGAGAAACAAAGTGGTCCAGCTGGGCGTTTTGAACTGCATATTATGGATCACTTTTTTTGGAAATTCATGTAGATACTGTAAATATTGCCAGTGAATCTAAACATGAGTTATGCTGATAGCCATAAGTAAATCAGAAACATAACATCTTAAGTTATAAAATAATATCAATTAATTGCTTTACGTAATTATTTTTTTATGGAATCTCTTTTAATGGAGGACTTGGGTTCAGTTACTGTGTTCATCCAGAAACACAGGCAGTTTATGCACCTACATGTTAGTAGCGAAAGCCATACTAAATACAGCAGAATAATAACGAGAATAACAAAACTATTAGATTCGACACATAAAAAGATCGTTCTCCCAGAGTTCTTTCCTAAAGACAGTGTTATTTGGAACCATGAGTTCTACACAGAACCACTTCATGCTTTAATGGTTCTTCAGACTGATAGTGAATGTGTTGCGTATGGTCCTATATAGAATATTTTTGAAAATGGTTCAATATAGCACCTTACAGGGTTCTACTATTGTTACGAAGTCAGGCTTGTGACAACAGAGCAACCCTTTTTGGTGCTACGCAGAGCCCATTTCAAGAAGATTCAACACAAAACCATACACAACACATTCTCTATCAATCTGAACAACCATTAAACCACGCAAAGAACAATTTAAGCACGAAATGGTTCGATACAGAACCACTGTTTTTGCTAAAGAACCCTTGAAGAACCATCTTTTTAAGAGTCTGCATTGCATAACATTGCGAGACTGACCATAACTTAGTTTCGAGACGTTTCTACGTTGCGCTGTTGGACTCAGATTTCAAAACCACGATGACATCGTTATTTTTAGCACTGATGAAGAGAGAAAATAATCGCAGAACTAACCTAAACCTAAATTTGCGACAAAATCGCTCAGGAAGTAAAAAAAAAAAAAAACAGCGCTGCTACAAGGTCAATAATCGATTAATGTTAACATTACCACATAATAGTTAGACTGAAATCGGTTTCTTATTCGAGTTTACAAACCCAACTGCTACACCATTTCAGGTGGAACGGAAAACTGGAATGTGAAGCTAACGTTAGCGAACAAGGGGCCAACTCCACCGCCGTAGCTTAACTGTTACTGGCCAGACTACACACATATTTTTGTATCAAAAACTTTGTTCACTTGTTTACATCTTGCTAACGTTTAATAAAAAACAATGAACATTAACTAACACCGCAGATGGAACAAAGTACGGGGCATGATGTATGTTAACGCTGGAACCAAGTTAGCTATTAGCTAAATAAGCTAACGCAAGCCGAAGCGAAAACGCGAGTTAAGCATAGTTCGGTAAGATAAATATCCAACTCTTGGGTGAAATATCATACAAAATGTTGCACATGATAAATTATACATAACGTTAAATAAACCAATCCATACATAAACTCTTAGTAAGGTCAGATAGACCGCTAACGCCGGAGACAATTTAGCCTTTTAGCTAAAATAGCTAACGAGGCTGAAGTTGGCTTCTTATTCGAATTTCCCGTTCCACCTTAAACGGTGCGGCAGTTACATTCTGGCGCCTGAGGCTGCCCAATAATAGAGGCTGCTGCACTGCTGCACCATTTAAGGTGGAACGGGAAATTCGAAAAAAAGAGGCGAGCTTCGTAAATAGCTGAACGCTAGCTAGCTGATCGTATCGCTAGCGGTTTGAGCGCTTTTAAATATAACGAAGACGACCCCCAATAGAGTGCTAATACAGACTTGCATAATGTTATCTTTACTTATTTTCACCCAGCTTTGTAACGTTACCGAGCTCATTTATTTGCGTTAAATTACTTAAGATTGTCACTACAGCCAAACTGCAGCTAACGAACAGCTAACTGTTATTCTGCTATAGCTTCTTTGTAGCTACGGAGCTAGAAAAGAAGTGAGGCTGTTAATCGACTGCTGGTTAGCTTATTCAGTATGTTTTCATCCCCAGAGGTGGAGAAGCACAAGAAGCAAATATTTAGCTGTTTTACTTACAGTTCTTCAGCGATTTATGGCGAAATACAACAGTATAACCTCGGTCACCATCTTGGCAGGGGTGTGTTTGCTTCTCTGAGCGGCTACAAACTAGGCGGTGCGCATGCGCAGACTTGAGTAATAAAATAATGAAAGGCTGGTCAACTGATACTTCGAATTCATAAGTTACACCGATCAGCCATGACGTTAAAACCACCTCTTTGTACCTACTCTCATTGTCCATTTGATCAGCTCCACCTACCATACAAGAGCACTTTGTTGTCTTACAATTACAGACTGTAGTCCATCTGTTTCTCTGCATACTTTGTTAGCCCCCTTTCACCCTGTTCTTCAGTTGTCAGGACCCCCATGGACCCTCACAGAGCAGGTAGTATTTGGGTGGTGGATCATTCTCAGCACTGCAGTAACACTGACGTGGTGGTGGTGTGTTAGTGTGTATTGTGCTGGTCTGAGTGGATGAGACACAGCAGTGCTCCATTTCACAATAATAGCGTTTACAGTTGTCAGGGCCCCCACAGGACCACCACAGAGCAGGTATTATTTGTGTGGTGGATCATTCTTAACTGATGAAGGGCTAGAGGATGACCAACACAAACTGTGCAGCAACAGATGAGCTACTGTCTCTGACTTTATCAATAAGGTGGACCAACATGGTAGAAGTGTCTAATAGAGTGGACAGTGAGAGGACACAGTGACGGGGTTGAGATGTAATAGGAAATGGGTATAGGGAATACATATTCAGAATACAGGAATTAAGTATCTGTATTCAGTCCAAGTTACATTTTGTAAAGGCATTTGACAAATTCTAAAGGTATTCTTCTAAAAATTTAGAATACCTATCCGCAAAATTTAAAAACATATTTACCATCTTTAAAGGAAATGCCACTAATATGTTTAATCTCAGTGTTACTGAGCTCTGCTAAAGCCTGAGTAGACTGATAAATCAATGTGATGATCAGTTATTAATCTCAGTGTTACTGAGCTCTGCTAAAGCCTGAGTAGACTGATAAATCAATATGATCAGTTATTGATCTCAGTGTTACTGAGCTCTGCTAAAGCCTGAGTAGACTGGTAAATCACACAGATGAGGCAGTCATTAATCTCAGCATTACTAAACTCCTTTGAGGGATGATGGAACTGAAGTCTCCTCGGTAGTGGACATGTTCACCAATGATAAGCTCAGTATTGGTGTTGTACTGGATTCGCACTGGTGTTTTGTTGTAAGTTACCTCATTAGCTGAAAATCACAGCAACCCAATTTAGTCAAAGTTGCAAGATTCTGTTATTGGGATATGGTGAATTGTTTGCTTCATAGAGCCAAAACAGTGTTTAGAATTTTGTAACTTCATTTACATGTGCAAATTTTTCGTGAAACATTGATAGAAGAGCAGTGCACCCCTGGTCAATTTTCAAGTTTTTAAAATTAAAATGGAAACATTCCCTAAACACTTTTGACCCAATTTAATGCACAATCATTGTTTATTTGATGAATTTTTCTTTTAAAAATATTAGGGGGAAAAAAGGAGGCAAAAGTACTGGCAAAATTCATATTTCACGTGTTTAATTTTTTCACAACGCGTTAAACAAATAAAGCAAATAAACAGAAATTGTGCACCAAAATTCACAAGAAAATGCCATATTTTATTTACCTGTAATTTGACCAGGGGTGTTCAAAATTTGCTTAGGACTGTATCCAACATTATTAGAAACCTGAATATCGTTTCTGTTTTCATTATCCTCTATATCAGTGGCTATGCTAGCAGTCTGAATTTCCCAATGGTTTTTAGGTAATGCATAATTGTAGTGAAAGAACATTGATAGACAAAAAAAACAAAAAGGATACGTTATCATACATTCTGTCAAACTGATGAGACTGAGGGATGTAGTGCTGCAAATATTATTTAACAGGATACATTAACATTTAATGCTCCTTTAAATTTACCCAAAATCCTGGGAGAGCGTGTATCTGCATAACCTTCCGCAGCCCTATTTTGAAATCTTGCTCAATATAGCATGTACACATGATTATGCAGGTAAACAAAGACACCACAAAAATACTGGCCAAAGAATTTAATGGAGAAAAAAAAAAACATTTAAAAACATTGACATACAGTTATGTATTTACAAGCAAAACACAAAGACCAACTGGGGTTGTAACATACAGCTACACACTTAAAAAGGAGAACAGAAAATGCAATGAATCAGCCAAACTGTAGAAGATGTAATTTACACCTACATAACACACATTAAGACTCAGCATATGGGCACACATACATTCAAAGATTTAAAAAATCATTTTAAAGTCATGTTTGTAAAATCTGTTATCATTTCAAAGACAAAAGTGAATGAAATAAGTACATGTATGACACCCGACAACATAAAAAGAATGAGGAATAGATGTTTTTAGATCAAGTAATAAAAATAAAAATCCCTGCTACGTGGCTCAATTTGCACACCTTCAGTCGCTTGACCTCTTTCATTTAAAAGAGTTTAGGGAGCTGCCGTAACCTGCTGAGATCCAGAAAATTTCCAACGGACCCCTGAGTCTCTGGGAGTGGCGATGGCCTCTGGCTGTCTGGCAAAGAAGACCGGCGCTGAGGAAGGAGTTTTGGACCATTCTCCTTGTCTGGGTTTGTGTTACCATGAGTCAGAAGCTGCATTTTCGGACGCAAGTCTTGTATTAACTGGTTTTGAGAGTTTTGAGGAGCTACATGTTTAAGAGAAATAGGCTCGGGCTGCTTGTTAGTTATGGTTTTCAGGATAAAATCAGGCACGTTTTCCCTCTCTTGTCCAACATTTTCTGAATTATTAAGCTTCAGGGAGCACCCGAGAGCAGAATCTGTCTGTATCCTCTGCATCTGAGCCTTCTCACCTTCATCTTCCTCTTCACTGCTACTTCCACCTTCAATCAGTCCATATCTCTTCATGTACATGCAAGTGGCTAACGACATGTTGCTGGGGGACAATATGCTCAGGCCTACGCTACTCTTATCCAAAGGAGTCTTTCCAAAAAGCACAGCGCCAGGATTTGATCGCGACTGGCCTCCAAGGGAGAGCCGGGACAGCTGAGTGTCACTCAGATACTTCAGGGCGATGGCATTGGCCTCCAGGCTCAGATCCGCTCCACCGCTCAGCCCCCAGATGCTTGTGCCGACCGGCTCAGAAAGAGCCAGCCTCGGAATTACTGCTTCAGGGTTTATGCAAGCAAGGGTGCTGGACAAAAGACAGGGGTGTGTTAAAGGAGAACTTCACCATTTTCAAAATTTCTGCATGTTGTTGCTTAGCCCAGGAGCGCCCAATCCTAGTCCTGGAGATCTACCACCCTTCAGATCCAGCACACCTGGCTCTATTATTCAGATGTCCCTGAGGGCCTTCATTAAATGGATCAGGTGTGATAGGTCAGGGTTTAAGCTAAACTCTGCAGGGTGGTAGACCTCGAGGACCAGGACTGAACACCCCTGGTTTAGCCAATTAATTGTCAAAGGTAGCAAAAATAACATTTCTGATTTTGTATGAAGAAATTACCAGGAATATAGGCCAGCAAAGAAAATCAAAACCATGTAAACTGCTATAGTGGATTAAAATTTCAAACATTACAGATATTCTACACAGGTATTTGTGAACGGTTTAGAGGGAATGAATGCAAGGTTTACTGTCTATGGAGGCTGACATATTTAACAGAACATTGCACATTCTATTGATTTTCTAGGTGAAAATAAGTTTACAGAGAACGTACTCAAATATGGAATTTTCTGCAAATTTTAGTGCAGTTTTTAAGTTCAATATATTCTGTGAAAAATAAAACAACAAAATATAAATTGTGCATTAACTTTTGCACATTCCACATTTTATGTTTTTGGTTTTCCTTAATATGTTAAATTAAGCAAATAAACAGTAATGGTGCATTAAAATGTGCAGAAGTGTGGCTATGTAGAGGATGTGGTAATTTATTTTCACTTAGAAAATGAACAAAACATGTCATTTTATCAGGAGCACCCAAACTTTTGCATAGGACTATCAGCTTCCATTGCTCGTTACCTACATTAGTCTCACATTCCACACGCAAACTTCAGATCTCAAACACGTCTTGGCTGACTGACAACATTAAGGGTAAGGAAGAAATTGCATAAATTTGAATTTTTTGCTAAACTATTGCTTCAGTGTTAACTTTGTGTTCTTGGACCCAGTAAAACAGTGAGTATGTAAAGAGCCCCAAAACATGCTTCATTTACCTGGCGCTCTCCAGTGTGGTGCGACTGGCCTTTCCTGAGCGAGAGTCCAGCTCGACAGTCACTCCGAGTTGGTGAAGCTGTTTTACTGTGGCGCTGAACACCTGATCCTGCCCTGAAACTGCAGCTCTCTGCTGTGGGCTCTGTTCCTTCTGTGTGGTTTTGTTTGGAGGTGAACGCCTGGGTGATAGACTGTGTCGGAGGCGAGGACTATGCACATCTCCTTCCATCGTTATGTCTTCAGTCACAGAATCCTGGAGACGACTATTCACTTGACCCTGCAAAATGCATAGAACATTGTGGAGTGTACTTTCAGAGAAATGAATGTCTGCAGATATATTCCTGGAAATTAAATGGAAATTACAATGATTTCTCAAAATGTCTACATAATGAAACTGTTCAGATGTAAAAACATTTGTGGTTTGGTGTGAAATGCATCATTCTAGAGAAATGTACAGACCTGTTCACAGTAGTGGTGGTAGGAACCACGTATCTGAAGAGTTTAAAAGTTCTCTCCCAGAAAGTTATCACATGAAGTGTTATAAACATGCTGCCTGATGCCAGAGACATTTTTTGTAATAAGGTTTTGGCCTAAAACTAAATTTTAAAAATGTATTAATCACAGAGAGGTACATTCAGGCTGTTCTAAGGCAAACAGTCCCCACAGAAACCTTTTCTTTTTTTCAGATTCACGACTGATTTACCATAATCAACATTACATATCAAACTCAGACGACACGTGTAGGTTCACTGGCTGTTTTAGACAGTAACTAAAATGGCTATATTTGCATTATAGACAATGCAACCTCTGGTTTCTATCACCACCAATGTAAAGAACAGAGAGGTCAGTAAGTTTCTCTACAATTAACAATTTTACATCAAACCACTCTTAATTACCTTTTTTACTAAGTCTTTGAATAATGCACAACTTTTCAAAGATTCCACCTTGTCTGAAGCTTTATTTCTAGAACTGCTTGTCGAGCTATACCATTTTTAAAGATCACAAAATGGAAATTTAACACTTGCAAAAGCATTCTTAAGAAGAGAGAGAATGATCTTACCAGTAACTCTTGATAAAATCTCTGATCATGTATTTCTCCGTCTTCAGAGATGTCCTCTCTGTTCGGAGACTGGGAGTGGTAATACATGCTAGCACTCTCCCCCAACACAGGACTTTGAAAAGAAGGCATTCCTACATTTGATGGTGTGCTGGATAAAAAGTAGAATCACTGTTACTGCCAACAGTTTACTAAAGGTCTGAATACTTTGCTATATCACTGTAGTGAAGTGTCATCTTTAAGAACACATGATTCTAGCAGTGGATTGTAGAATTATATGAACCTTTTAAATTATACCATAGCCCAGATTTTCATTGCCCAATCAATAATAACTTCAGAATTTTGAACTGTTTCCATGCAGTGTGAAGTAAAAATCAATCCTTAGGATGTGGAAATACAGTTACAAAAGCATTTAAAGGGTTAAAAATCTCATATCATACTTGTCTTGTGGTGATCTTGTGGAATGGAGAGGTGTTCCAGGGTCCTCTTCTTCTCTACTATGATGGACTTCTTCAGAGCAAAGTCTTGAGGAGACTGTGCTATCGCAATCGCCACTAGTCTGCCTCTGAGGCTCAGAGTGACCATCAAGAGACTGGCCATCAAGTGTGGAGTCTTGAGCAGGATCACTCCAAAACAAACTAGCACCTACAAAAACACACAAAAATGTTACAAAATATAGATTAATCATTTTGCACCCGTATATTGACGATTCGCATGATTTTTGTTTACATAGTGTTTTGCCATGCTCAAGAACACAATCAACAGAACATAGAGAGAATTCATTAAATCAGGAGGCTATGCAAGTAATGATGCAAAACACTTTATCAGCACCTGTTCCTACTGCAATGCTGACACATGTCTTTTTGGGCTCAGAAAACGCTGATGTTTGAATGGATTGCTCCAGGTGATGTTCCTCTGCTGATGCTCGTGTTGGCTCAGACACCTTACTCTGGGCATCAAGAAGTTTCTGGATCTGAGAGACAAAAATTAAATATTTAAGAATCCCAATGCAACTGATATTTCTGTATTGTTGCAATGCATTGTATTGCGAAAACAACTTTCAGTCAAAGACATACTGTGATTATACACTTAGTCTTTTATGAACCACCAACTGGCTTATGTTTAGCTCGTCAAATTAATTAAAGCAATAATTCAGCAAAACAACTCCATTAAGTATTGCCCACTTGCCTAGGGAAAGTAAAATACTGAGAGAGGTTTTGGGCAGTTTATAGGTGTCTGTCTCTCTCTTTCTCTCAAATACTAGTAAAAGTGACTACAGAAGAGTCTTTTGGGGAAAGGTTCACACTGAACACTGGCAGTTGATGTTTGTTCCGAAATTTGCTTCTGTAATTGGAGCTTACATGGTTGCTTATGTAGTTTCTGACACTGTGCAACATACTGTTACTTACAAAAACAGCCAGATGTACGGACTACTTTCAGACCAAGTGGTCTGCTGATACTGTTTTTAACTGTGATGTACTTTTTTCCATTTTTATAGATAGCATTTTGTCATATGTGATGTGGTTTGAGCCAAGCATGTGATAATTTAGGCATGTGGTCTACTTGATGCTAATGGGTACAGTACAAGCTTCCTCGTTATGTACATTAGCCTTGTAGCCTCAGTGCAAAATTACTGAAGCAAACATGTATTGATTGATCGACCACATTTGGGGTTAGGGGATTTTCCCCTTATGTTTTTTACAAATTTATTGCTATAATAAGGCCCACATCTAGTACAAACCTGAGCCTGCAGTTGCTTCAGTTGTAGGTCCTGTTCAATCAGCATCCTGTAGGCATCAGCAGGAAGAAGACCCATACCACCCTCTAGTGGAGTAACTGCAGCAGAACTGGGCTGGCCAGTACAGCTTGACTGTGGTTGGCAACACTGGGCCTGGCAGCCTGGCACTGCCTGCTCCAAAGCTACACTGCTAGGGCTGACAATGGGGACATGTGGCCCATGCGAAGGAGAGCAATGCTGGGCAACACTAGCACGGCAGACAGGGCTCTTAGTAGGGGACACATGGTAGCCAAAAGACTGCCGTCGAGGAGACAGACAGCAGTCTGCATGAGGGCTACTTTCAGTAGAACAGTGGATGGGGTTACCAGGAGCCATGGGTACATGAGCAGGGTGAAGTGGAGTTCCTTGCCAGGTACTGCTTTGGTAAACAGGCATGTGCCCATGGTGGGCAGAGCAGCAGTTACAGGTGTTAATGGCAGGGTTGGAGGCAGGGGTGCTGTGGAAGAGTCTATGTTGAGAAGGGTGCAGCATGGAGGTTTGTTCTGGAATGATCGAAGCTTTTCTGGTGCTACTGTGGCTTGATGCTGGTGGTCCAGATGGTGAGGATGGATGAGAGTGGGGTTTATTCACAAAATCTTGCCCAGATCTCTGCTTGAACTGGTGGAACGAGTCATTTGGTGAGGAGCCGGTCTTGGGAGAAGAAGTTGAAGAGGCAGAAGATGAGGCAGAGGACCCATTACTTGATCGTCGACCTGTGGATGGAATGGATTTCCTGCCCACTAAAGGCTTTGGTGTTTGGTGTCCTGAGGTGGGCTGTGGTCTACTGGCTTTTGGCTGGGACAACACAGGCGTCAGTGGTCTCCTAATGGGAGGAGGTCCAGCCATACCACTCTGAGCTGGTGGACGTGGTCCAGGTTGCTGAGTACTGCTTCTACAGCTCCTTTGCAGAGTGCTGGATTGTGCAGTATGAGGGAGAGTGTGATTATATGACTCTACTATCTTTCCATCAAGAAAGCTGCCATCCGCTACCATAGAAAGTTCAGGAACTGAGGGCTGGACTTGTCTGGTCTGGGGAAATAAACAAATTAAGTCTTTCATCATTAATTCTTTGAGTAATTAAATAGTTTAGGGATTATTTTAATGATTAATTGAATAATAAGAGCTGATAAAAAAGGCAAAACAAAGAAAAAAAAAAAAAACCTTAACTGATCAATAACAAACCATGCATAGCCTTTTAAAGGTTTCAAACGATGTGTCTAAAATGATAAAAAAGGATGCAACATAATGACAAAGCATATAAGACCTGTTGGCTGACAGGATGAGGGTTAGGAGAAGGCCGCGGAGAAAGATCCTCATCTTCCACTCCTGAGTCATGGTCACTGGCGGACAGTTTGTTCTGGGCAGCAGCTGATGACTCAGCTCTAGCACTCCTGTTTAAAAGCAGAATCAGATTTATTCACTGGTTTAAAATAGTCCCAGTCCTGGTAACTAAATTTTCTTTGCATTTTTAAAATAGTCCGGTCCACTAGTGCAACACTAAACACTAAAATGTGTAGGAGTAGAACCTTGAAACACTTTCCTAAGTTATCATTTATATATGATTTATCAATAATAGTTCTCATTATTTCAAATAAACACCACTGTACCTTGGTAGTATTGAACGAGACATCGATTCTTTAAAGAGCTCAGCCTCCCGTCCCTGGTTTTCAGCACTGAGCTCAAACAGCAGGGAACGTCCATCTGATGGTTCCACATTCTATCCACAGACAGACAGACATAAGTCTTTAAAAGCATCATATACTCTCATATACCATCACCAGATTTTAGAACTTGAGCATCTACAAGTGTTGGTTCCATATCTGCATTACAACACCTAATTTCACTAAAAAGTAGCCCCTGCAAGGGTGGGAAATCCACATTCTCCAAAGGGTTAATTAATCGCATATATAATCTTCAGCTCTGTAAATATGTAAATTTAATGGTGTTAAATTTAAACAGAGAAGGGAATCAAATGAACTTGGTGCCAAAGTCATATTGTCTCATGTACTCCTAACAAACCTTGTAAGCTGTGACTGATTCTGTGCTGGTAAGAAGCTGAAAGCTCATGTCTGTCAGCCCATTGCGCAGCTTACACTGGTAGAATTCAGGTTCTCTGTGAGTGAGTGAGTAGAGAACCACCAAGAATGCGTTGCTCTCCGACATCACTCTGAAAAATAAGCAACAGGTCAGTACAACACACACACACACACACACACACACAAAGTTCAAAATATATTTTCAAAACACTAAAGCATGCTTCCGTCTGAAAATGTTGTAATGACAAAGCACTGACATATTTAAATAATAATCTAACCGTGACGTAGCTCAGACAATAAATAAAAACAGGATAGTTTTTTAATTTAAGGTCTTCTTAGCTATACTAATTGCCGTGTAGAAGAGGCTGAATGACTTGCTAGCCCTGGAGACAGGGCGAACAGATGGGTGCAGCACTAACCTGTCCTGGAGGGAAGAGCTGTACAGGTACCTCAGACACCACGCCCACACCACAGGATTATGAATGTGTGTAACCCCACTGAGCCATCTGTCACAAAAGAGGACAGTAACTCCATCAACCTTCACTTACAATGCATTCAACTGTTACACAAATCCCAGGAGCCTTTTTTGGTAAAGGTGTAATTAATGGAGATTGAATTACAGTAAGACTCAGAACCACTACAACACCACTAAGCAAACGTTTAAACGGACAAAATCAAAACCAACAGCTGAAATTACTCATGTAGGTAATACTAGCCTACAATCCAGATAGAAACTTCCTTATCACAGTTTGCTATGGTACCAGCTTATCTTCAGCAACGGTCTTGGGTAGAAAACAATAGAAGTAATGGCGCTACAGAGAATAATAATACTACAATACTAGTTAAGATACAGCAAGGATTTGCAGTGTTTCCCCACACATAAGCTATGCTTGGGTGGCCCCACAAATATACTGGCATCCATCCAAATATATTTTGTCCCATTTAACAAATTCAATATGTACTGTTATGTAAGGGGACATTTCACATAACAAGATAAAACTTTTTATCTAAAAAACACTGATGCCTTATTTAAATTCCCAATTAAGTAAAAAGAATACTGAGGTGAGTTTGGATATCCATATATGTTAGAATACCATCCCAGAATCTACCCAGGTTTATTTGAGAGCTGTGGGAAACACTGATCTGTAAAAAGGTTCTATATACAACATTTTAACCATTAATACAGCAGCAAATACCCATTTTCTATTTAATGTTTGTGAAGTAATAAAGTGATGAGCAGAGAATGAAATCACAGCCCCCCGTGTGTGTTGTAATCCAAGCTTCTCTATTTTTTTGTTTTCATAGCCGTTCCAGCCACGCGTTATAGTCCTGCCCTGTGGACACGCTGGCCCTCCCCATGTTTTGTGTTGCTCTCCCCAAGACAGAAAGACAGTCACCGCCCACACAGCACTGAGCATGCAAGAGGGCAGAGCGCAGCAGAAAACGTTTAGGAGAAAGCAACCTTCCAAATATTCCTCCACAGAATATTCCTTGAAGTTGACGAGGCTGAAGTTAGCCTTCTATTCGCATTTTCCCATTCCACCTTAAATCATACAACATGAAAAAACAGGTAGAATTTATAGAATATCAAAAAATATATCTCTGGTGGAATATATATCAACTATATTAGGTTATCTGCTTATCCTAAAACAGACAAATTGTGACATTATGCAGGATGCTCTCCTCTTTGAAAAAGTGAGAGGAAAACAGAGACATTCTCCATCTTATTTCAGGAGCTAAACTTTGCGATTGCTTTCACTCACAGCTGGGATCTCAGCTGAGCTTGAGCTGATTTTGGAGATGCAGCTCCACTAAACAACCTCAAAACAAACAGGCTGAACGTGCAATAACATCTCCTTTGCGTCTCACAGAATAAGCAAACGATGGCACTGGCCTACTGTCCATTTTTGAAAAGTGAACGTAGCATGAAAATCTTCACCACATTCAGAAACTGAAACGCTGAGTTCTTCCACACAGGCTATAATTTAGTTTGTAGTCCAGTTTGTGGTTTCGGAGATTCTGATTCTTTCAGCGTTTATGGAGAAGTTCTATTCAACAGCAGAGATGACTGTGATTGGCCAGTGGGTTTCTGTTGCCGGCCAAAGATCACAAAAATCTAACAGGGCGAATAAATTAATGTCGCATACTGCCAGTTATAC